CCCCGCCCCCAATAAAATGGTGTGGGCAGAAAATTGTCTAAAGTATCATTTAACCATAAAACAACCCCTATTTGACTAGTATATTTTATGTGAAAATACTTATACCAATGAATGAATTAAACTTTAGAAAAATTAAAAGATTATTGAGAATTATGCAGATTTTAAATGCCAGAAATGAGGATGAAGAATTGGGCAAGTATAAACCATGAATTTAATTAATATTCAAGTAATATCAATGTATTTCTGACTTGCACACCTCTTTACAAATATTAATTTATCCAACATAGCTTTCTCATTATTACGTGAAATGTTCCACAACAAACTGAACTTTTTCTTTACCTGAATACTCAAACCTGGACAAGATTGTATATGTAAAACATTTAGTATTTTGTCAAAAAACTGGAAATTCTAGGCAAAGCTCAAGTTATTCATTAATATTACCAGCTGGACTTGTACTGCACCGAATGTTTAAATAATTTCAGGAGATGTATCATTAATTTTGTACCTAAAGTGTGCTAGGATTGATTTGCTAAAATATGTACATCACGTAATAAAATAACTTGAATAAATTAGCCTCTTGACTGCCACATTCATCCTGGTGTTCCTACCAAATTACACATTCAAACCAATAGCATTCATTCTGTATCAAATTGATACATAAATAATTTCAACCCTATTGATTGAATAGCTAGCTAGGCCATTCACTTCATGCTCTCCTCTGATGGACAAGTTAAAATAAATACTTTGCTTTTACGTAAAATTCCTCTGCAAATTTCCCAGTGACAAACAGAAGTAGAAAATGTCAATACTCTGAGCTCAATAGTCACAATACAATATCTGTTCCCATCTACATGTTTCTATATATATATATAGCTACTTATATTATTAACCTAAAATTGTTCTGGATGTAATCCTACACAGATATATCATTTTGTTTGACCTTATGAAGGTGCACACAACTGGACTCTTGGGATTTTTCAGACGATATCATTTGTCATGAAGAATGGAAGGCGTTATTCATAAAATACTGGACAACTTCAAAATACAAACGTTAGGCTTTGAATATATATTTTCATTCAGAGAATATAAATGAGTGAAATGACAAACCCTGCAAATTGGCTGACGTGTAAGATATGGAAGATGACATCCCAAAGCATTGATATTTGACTTCCTGAACACAAAAATGCAGAAAAAACATTCACTTGGAACTTAAGCTTTAAACAAAACAAGATTAACAGAAAAATATTAAACAGTACTGAAGTCGATACCATTATGATACTGTACTGTACTGAATGGCAAGAGTGATTTCAAGAGACTTGTCATATTAAATACCTGAAGTGTGCCAGGCCTGAATTATTTTAAAATGTGCACAATGCAATACGATGATTATAACTGACATTTTTGTTAAATAAATTATCTTTTTCGACAAATACATCCTTCCTAGTGTTCATGCCATATCACACTTAAAAAAAAAAAAGCAACATTCATTCAACATTTAATTTGAAACAAAAATATGCCATCTTACTGATGAAATAGCCAGCTTTAAATATGCTCTCCTCTAGAAGGCAAGGTTACAAAAAATCCCATAAATATCATTAATAAAACTCTGACTGACAAAAATGGTGAAATTCTCTCAAGTCTTGAACATCATAAACTTCATGTAGTGTTTACTTGAAGCTAATACAGTACATAAATATATAACTTAAGATGATAACTTTGTATCATTGACTGTTCTTGTCAGCTTTTCTTCACGTTTCTGATGATCCTTTGATTTTTCTTGAGCAGGTCAACTTGTACGCATTTCATTCAATAACTGAAGCGAACACGTCCTAAAGCATTCAATATCAGGTAAGCCCACTTCATAATCGAACAGAACGCTTCATAAATAATTCAATATTTGTTCAGCCTACTTTACCCTTTCACCACTGTAGACCATAATGGACTTTACCAGATCAGTGCATAGTAGAAGCTACTAAAGTGACATAGGGGTGAAAGGGTTAATAATGTAAGTGAACCACTTCGTAAATCTTTCAATATTTGTTGAGCCCGCTTCATATAGAAAACTCCTCATAAATCGTTCAATATTTGAAGAGCCCGTTTCATTGTCACATTCACTAGAGCTAGTTTGCAGTTCTTTCAGTATTCGTAGAGCAGACTTATAGCTTCCGCAGCCTTAGCTCGGACTTCAGGTGTGGAATCCTTCAGTAACATTATCAATGCTGCAAAGTAAACAAATATGTTGTGTTCAAGCAATCTTACAATTTTAAAGATATTTTTTTTTAATATAATCCCTATTGTTCATTTGCTACCACGCTTACTGCCAATGCATTTAATTTACCTCAATTGAATAATAATGGATGAAGGCTTAAAGCATCTAGGTCCATGTCAACAAATATTTCACAAATAGATTATAGGAGTGTCAATAACAGCATTATAAATATGTAAAAACCCTTACCTCTTTTCTACACAATGCCTTAAGTTCTCCCTCAAAATATCGACATTGAACCCCTTTATAATGCCAGGATTTATCTGGACATTTTGTTGGCAGTACAATAAAACTTTACTGCTCTTACTATATTTTTAAAGGAATTTTGTGTATTTATGAACAATATAATACTATTTTCAAAGACATTTATTAAATACTTGATATGTATTTTTTTAAACATTGTTTTTTTTAACACATTTGTGAATGTAAAATATTTGTACCATACTTCAAGGCATATCAGAGTGAAAAATGCTTCATTTAAGATAACACAGTAATGTCTGATCCCTTGACATATACATAGGAATTGTACTAACCTGAGCATATGTGTTCTTTGGAGATTAGTCCATGTTTTCCATTTGGTAAATTCACAAGTAAAAATCCTGTAATAGTGAAAAAGACAGAGAATTTCATAAGATTTTACATCCAGAAAAATTCATCTAAGGATAAAGGCGGCAATGGGTTCTGTGCCCTTGGCCGGGACATTAGCAAATGGTATTTGTTATTCCCCATTAACTCTTTCACCCCTAAAATTCCATAATGAACTATTCCAACCTTTGAATTATATATAAGAGATCAAATGTGTCTTCAGGGGTGAATGAGTTAAACAGTCAGCATTTTGGGTAATTGCAACAACTAAGTATTATATAATTAATGCGTTGTCAGAATAACGTGACCCGGTTAAATACTTCAGTGAGGTAGCACTATAAAGTCAGAATCAGCTTCAAGGTATCGCAACAAGACAAATACACCAACATATCACCTCTAATACACATGCATACATAAACCCTTTCACCACTGTAGACCATAATGGACTCAACCAGATCAATGCATGGTAGAGTTTACTAAAGTTACATAGGGGTGAAAGGGTTAAATTGACCTTAGATATAATTGCCATCCCGGTTTATGGTTATAAGGTTGCAAATTACCTATATTGAATGACCAATCAAATGTTATCTTACATCTCAAATGATGTAACATAGCACAATATGTCATGGATATACAAAACTTTGCAAATCATATTGATTCACCAATCAGATGTCATGTTACATCTTAAATAAATCTAAATAAAAGTAACATTTTTATATTCAATTCTGTAATTTTCCTTTTCTATAATTAACTTTTTCACCCCTGAAGACACATTTGAATTCCTCCAATTCAAAGGTTTGAATAGTTCATTATGAAATTTCAGGGGTGAATGAGTTAATTTGTAAACAAATTTAAGGATTCTTGTCCCACTATTATGTTTTTTTTGTGTATATACAGTAACCACCCTTTAACTTCTGTGTGGATATAACTTAAGCACAGTTGAGCCAGAACACTTCCGTTAACATGGTAACTCAATTAGTTAGATCAACAATAGTATAATAATCTGAGGCCCTGAGTTCAAATCCTGGTCCAGCCCCGATGAACATTTTCCATTCAGAACACTTGTTACTTTTATATATATAATTTTTTCCTCTTTATTATTTCTCTTTAAAGTTCCACAAAGTATGATTTTCTTTTTAGAAATGATTCATCAAAGCTATCGTTATGCCGAAAAAAACAGTTTCCAACATTTAGTTAGTTTCTGGCAGTGGTAAGGGGGTCCTTAAATAGTGTAGACGTTGCTGATAAAAGCTGCCAAACTGACCGGTACTCACCTATAAATAACGCTGCATTACTCTTTATCTCCGGCCACGAACTTTTGAAGAACGCAACACAACCCATTGCATAGAAGTTAACTTTATCTGGGAAATCTTGAATCTGAAACGATGAGGATATATTGTATTGATGAAAATATTTAATCTGAGGACACATCTTACCCTGCTTGTTATATCTAAAATTTTGATTATGACAATTGCTTAAATGCTGCAAATTGAGTCCAAACTGATCAAAATGCACTCAATAATTTCATTAAAATTAAAAATTACCAATATTACAGCAATAATGAAAAAACTTTTTTCAACAACAATTCTGAAACACCTTTTTTTAGCAACAAGTCTGAATCAATTTTTTTTAGCAACAATTCTGAAACAATTTTTCCCGAATGAAAACATAATTGAATAGAAATTTACTTACTAATACTTTTGATAGGTCATTCATAAACTCTCCGTAATGTAAGTTACCATCCTCAAGTAGGTGTTTCTGGAATTTGCTGTTAACATCCTCCGACTCCATGAGGGGGCCAAGCTGTCTCAATGCTCCTTTACAGGCCTGAAGAGTGATGTTATTTAAAAATTATTTTACTTTTTATAATTTACATGGATGGATATATGGTACCATATAGTGGTAATCAATGTTCATTGTTGATGGAATTGTTTGTCACTCAATCTGTCCATAGTGCATTATAGTGGTAATCAATGTTTGGTGTTGATGGAATGGGTTGTCACTCATCCTTTATATGGTTCATTTTAGTGGTTATAATAGCTCATGATAAATTAATGTTCCTAGTTGATATTGAGTAATGCTTATTTTACTACGACACCAGGAAAACAAGGAAATAGCTAGCAAGGCCCTAGAATCCATTTAAACTTTACCTAAAAGTAAATTCCCAGTCATGATTCATAAAATAGTGAGAGAAAACATTTCCGATAAAAACGTATGAAATTGTATTTGAAATTTTGTTATTAAAGTTTATACATTTATTTCAACATGCTTACAAGTATGACCTTGATGAACCGTTACAGAATGAGTACGTACCTTGATGACCTCCTTTTTGGGGTCGTTCAGGTGAAGCAGGAGGCTGACAAGGTTGCTGTGGATCTGTTCCAAGAACGGAGCCTTGGAGGGGCCATCCCCAAACCGGGACAGATTCCCAAACAGGATGTACGACTGAGCTCGGACTCCCTCCTTCTCCTGGATAAGTTTATAATGTTTGTAGTAGCAATTTGATCACTTCGTAAATCGTAGCAGTAAGCAACAACCTGCTATTCTAATGAAGTGGGAAATATTCCCCTAACAGGCTTGGGCAAAAGTGTCTTCCAGAGTTTCTTTTGTTTCCAAAATTCACTTGTTCTGTCAAACTTAACACCTAAATGTTAAGGACTTTTTTTTCTTTAACTATTAGCTACAAGGGTATTACCTGAACTTCAGAATTTTTTTTTTTTAAATCAATTTTTATGATGTAATACTTTCCATAACTTTAGTATGCATATATATGACCTAAATCCCATCTTTTGAGCCCCAAAAACAAAGGATTTTAATAATCCTGCCTTCCTTCCCCTCACCGTAATCCCGATGAACAAGATCTCGTAAACATCACTTTTTCTTTCCTCGCTGTTACACCAGCAAGCTTGAAAACTTTGTGTAGAGCTCTATTCTACGACCCATACCTGACACAACCTGAAGTTGACATAGGAAATGATGATACCTTTTCAAAGCAGGGTCGTATCCTGAGAGCCACGTTGATGAGGATGGCCCGGATGTGGCTCTCATCTATCTCTGGCAGAACACGGGACAATCCGCTCATTGCCTGGATTGTGATGTCATCGTCTGGGTCCTCTTTGTCATCCATACCAGCCATCATGGCCGACAGCACCGTAGTGGAATACCTCTGGACCTGAAATACATTTGATTGTTAGTTTTCTTAATGGAAAATTTTGCTGGACATCCAATGGCAGTAATGAGGTTTTCATGTAGAGGATCTTACATGCATATCCCATGTTATATTGAATTTATTATCAAACAAGTTTAATAATTTGTTCTGACAAGAGCCTTTGGAAAATTCAAAATTGGGGGGAAAAAATCTAACACAATTATGTGTTATCAGCTGACTCTATATAGGTCAAAACCAAAGTACTCCGATCATAGTATTGTAATTCCGCACAGTGCAAAGTAGGTCCAGATTAAATAATGGACAGTTTTAAATGTAATGAAAATGACAAAATTAAACTTCAAATATTCATTTAATAGCAAAAACATAAAAATTTATCAGAGAAAAATGCAATTTTGACCAATCGTTGCACTTTTATGTTTTGTTACACGTGTGTATTACCATTTTTAACCCTTTCACCACTATAGACCATAATGGACTCATCCATATCAATGCATGGTAGAGTTTACTAAAGTTACATAGGGGTGAAAGGGTTAAGACATGGACATACGAGATATGACATCAGATCAGTTAAGTTATGAAACAGGTTAAGTGTCGTTGAAATTTATCTAAAATTCACAATACTGTGTAGTTATAATTGTGCCATGAAACAGAACATTTCTGAGGCAAGGTCGGTATCTTTATAACACTTAGGCCTACCTGGTCCTGTCCCATGGACGACACATTGCCCAGCCCGCGGATACATAGCATGCGTACGACGTGAGAGGAATCGACGAGTCGCCCCAACAGACTGTTCATCACCAGCTCCACTAGGGTATCATCATCTGCACATTTCTGGTTGATCAACTGTTAACAAAAATAAAAGATACAGAGTTTTATACTACTACTAACAGAACACAATTCATCTCCAGCACACATGCAGGCATACACACATAGGGAGATATAAGCCAGGTGGCATAGTACATGTAGTTAGTGCCTGATAAGGCAGCTCCTGCGAATTCCTCAAAACTGTATTGATTAATGTATATGCTAATTGTATTCATTGTATTAAATTGTATATCTATGTACTGTAAAGCACTTTAGAGTGGCTTATGTTAGCTAGATAGTATAGGGCGCTATATCGAATGTTGTATATTTATTTTATTTAATGCAAGGACACACAGACTTTCTGTTTCAACACACACAGAAATACAAGTTTCATGGACCACAATCCTATGAACACAGATATGTCAATCAATTGTAGTCAAGGAAAACTGAAGACAAGAAAATATGTTGGTCATAAATATTTACCAACGAGGGCATGTTTTATACCCTCATTTTCAGCACTGGCATATTGAGTAGAAATTAAGCAGTATGATGTTTTTATGAAATTGTATACCTCGGCAAAGAAGGCTGCAGTGGTGACCCTCTGTGTTTCGTAGAGACTGGACAGAGAGGAAGTAAGGCAGGCAACGATCTGTGAGGTATGGGGCCCTGCCACTGTACTGGTTACTATCAGTCTACAGGTAAAAAAAACTCACAGGTAAAAATCTTAAATATCGGGGTAGGTACAAAACTCACAGGTAAATACCTTTAATAAACAGGTACAAAACTCACAGGTAAATATCTTAAACAGGTACACAACTCACAGATAAATATCTTAAACAGGTACAAAACTCACAGGTAAATACCTTAAACAGGTACAAAACTCACAGGTTAATATCTCAAACAGGTACGAAACTCAAAGGTAAATACCTTATATAGGTACAAAACTCACAGGTAAATACCTTAAACAGGTACAAAACTCACAGGTAAATACCTTAAACAGGTACAAAACTCGCAGGTAAATACCTTAAACAGATACAAAACTCACAGGAAAATATCTTAAACAGGTACAAACCTCACAGGTAAATATCTTAAACAGGTACAAAACTCACAGGTAAATACCTTAAACAGGTACGAAACTCACAGATAAATATCTTAAATAGGTACAAAACTCACAGGTAAATATCTTAAACAGGTACACAACTCACAGATAAATATCTTAAATAGGTACAAAACTCACAGGTAAATACATCTTAAATAGGTACAAAACTCACAGGTAAATACCTTAAACAGGTACAAAACTCACAGGTATATACCTTAAACAGGTACGAAACTCACAGATAAATATCTTAAACAGGTACAAAACTCACAGGTAAATACCTTAAATAGGTACAAACCTCACAGGTAAATACCTTAAACAGGTACAAACCTCACAGGTAAATACCTTAAACAGGTACGAAACTCACAGGTACATGTAAATACCTTAAACAGGTACAAAACTCACAGGTAAATACCTTAAACAGGTACATAACTCACAGGTATATACCTTAAACAGGTACAAAAACATGCAGGTTATAACTACTCACAGGTACAGATTCAAACTCAATGCCCTTGAGCCATCCTGGTATATATGTAATTGATATACACAGTGAAGAACATGCAGTACAATATATATACAGCTATACATTGTTATGTATCCTGGGAATTTTGACATACTATGAGCTTTTCCGTGATTCAATAAAAAGAACGAGCTAAAAAAATTGACATTGCATTCGTAACAGGAAGGAGAGTAGTGTGCTTACCCCCGGGATCAAACCTGCGATCCCTTAGGTTCCTAGACGGACACTCTACCACTGAGACAAAGAGAAATTCCCTACAGAGCAAAGCTAGAAGGGCGACCGTAATCCTATATGTATACAATTAAAATCTACCATACATTAAATGATCAAAATCATTTCAATGAACCTACATGTACACCAATCCACATAACTTTACCTGGTGAGCGTTGTAAAGGCCTCGGTATAATTGTCCTCATCCTCTAGTTTACCCCAGCACTCCTCCTCCTCGAGACCCTCTTGGATGTCCTTCGTCTTTGTCCGCTCCAGAAATGACTTAAATGCTGCTACAGCCGACCTGGAAAAAAGCACAGACCAGTGTAAAATCTTTCCTATTGAATTCCCTACAGATATCTTACTTATGCTTACTGTATTTGATGTAATTGCACAGGTTGATGACAAGTGAAGTGCATTTAAATTAAGCACATTTTCCCCACACACAATATACATATTTCTTTTACTATTTGCTCCACAGCAGAGAGACACAAAGGTCTCTTTAGCCTACTCCCCTGCTCAGTGCTGATGTCCCAATTAATCAAGCAAACGCATATGAATATCATTCTGAACGATTGCATTGGCCACATTGTTTTTGTTTCATATTCTCATGCACAGAGCCTAAGTTGGCAGTGGAAATTGTCTAATTCACAAAACCAATGAGACGACTTCTAGAATTCCAAGAATTCATTTTACATTTCTAAAATCCTTCAGGGGGCACCCTTATTAAAACAGTACTTACTGACTACATAGCTACAGCTAGAAAGGTAGATATTGTGGAAGAAAACAGTACTTACTGACTACAGGTGGGTATTTTTGGAGATGAGGCGGCCAAAGCTGCAGCCCGTTTCTTATCCTTTGGTTTTTCCTCTCTGTCCTGCAACAGATGACAATTTATCTATTTAATTTATAAACATATGGCATGATGAAATGAATTTAAAACATTTGAACTGTTTCAAACAGGCTAACAGGCCCAGAGATAGCATCATAATTCTTAAAGAGTTTCAGAACTGAGCAATAGATATATATTTAGTAAGTTTACTCCTTGCAAGATTCAATTAATCTGATTTTGTAAAATAAATTAATTGAACTGTATGTACTTAATGGAGTTCATTCATATTTTGGTGCTTAGGTAGGTACTGCGATCAAAACAAACGATGTTATTAATGGCCTAGAAATAAGCAGTTGTATCATGTTTGTCACCTTGAAACATATAAAGGGTTACATTTTAGTGTAAGTGCAAGTCTATAGGGACCAAATTAGCACTTCACAGGGGAAGAATTACCCATACAAGATTATTAAATACCTCGTTAATTTCAAACAGACAGCATCATTACCTGTTTATCTGTTCTGCTATAGGGATTTCTAGTACATTTATAAATATAACAATAAATCTGCAGTTACTGTATATATACTACCTTCAACATAATAAGCACCCAGGGCTCATAGCAATATGGGAAATTTAGAATGATTACAGCACCTTCCAAAAGCCATAATTGGCACCATTTTTCAAGCAAATCAGTAAAATATGGTAAAGGGATGAGAAGATTGGAACAAAAAGTAAGGATAGGGTTGTCTACATGGGAAAGGGGCAATTACTGGGACAAATACGGTAATACCTGAAATGACAAATTCAACACAACAGTGATTTTCCACACTAATATATTATGTATAACCCTTAATTAAGCCGCGGTCACATCTTACGGTCACGCACGTAGTTGACCGTAGTGGGGGATGACCGTGGTTGACTGTATTAGACAATAGGTGACCTTAGTTAAACATATTAAAGGTAGTTAGACATAGTTCAACGTAGTTATAAACTGAACATAACTTAACCCTACTTCACCCCAGTTAACAGTACTCACTCTACTGTGGACGTACTTCAAACGTAGACTAACCCTAGTAGTTGTCCCTATTTGACCCTACTTGACCGTAGTGCCAGGCTACTTACAGTCAACTACAGTAAACACTATGTTCAACTACAGTAAACACTAGTCAAGTAGGGTCAAATACGGTCAACTAGGGTCAACTACGTTCAAACTACGATCACAGTAGTGTCTTGGCATCCAAACTCACTGTAGAGATATTTTGAACATGCTGAAAATTTTTGGGCTAACCACGGTCAAATCATGGGTTTCATGGTGTTCAAACTATATCTATAACTACATTGAACCACGTCTAACTACGTTTTATTACGTTTAACTAAGGTCACCTACAGTCTAATACAGTCAACTACAGTCATCCCCACTACGGTCAACTACGGTCATCCCCACTACGGTCAACTACATGTGTGACTGTAAGATGTGACTGCTGCATCAAGGGTTGAGACTAGGAGATTCTCCAGCTAAACAACTGTGTGATTTCATGTCAACAATGCATTGAGCCTGTAATGTCAACATTCTATTATATCTTTCGCTGTAATATACATAATTGTAAGCTTTTTAGCTTTTGGAGATGTCTTGATTGTATTTCATTTACTTATTTACATACATGACAGGGTCAACAGGGTCAGAAAAATAAGATTGATCCACCTCTTTGAATTGAGATTGGGAATCTCTAACTCATTCACCCCTGAAGTTTAATAATGAACTATTCCATCTTCGAGTTGGAAGAGTTCAAATGGGTCTTCAGGGGTGAATGAGTTGAGATTCTGAAGTTGATAAACACTCTGCAAGCCTCATGTTCAGCAACTTAATAATCTTCCTCCTAGGATTGAGATTCCCCTATCTCAACCCTCAAAGGGGTAAAAGATTCTATTAATCTTTTAATCAAACATTGAATGTTACACTTGTCTTTTTCAGCAGAAATGCAAAACAACACTAGACAAAGCTATAGCTCTATAGAGTTCCAATAAGGCACTCTGTCTCAGCAGAAATACAGGCAAACTTTTATTAAATGCTGCTGCTATCAGCAAAGCTCTTAAAAGTAAAAGCATCTGAAGCATAAATTCATTTATTTATGTATGTCAAAAGAGTGTTTCCAAAACAAAATTTCTATGCATACCATGCAAGGGCATTGAAATGTTTTGATAATTCAACAAATTAGACCACATATACAGTGACATGTAGACACTAAGAAATCTGAAGGAATACTTGTTGCAAAAAAGCAGAAAATAAATATTTTTTATGGTTCAATAAGAGAATTAACAATTTCACTGAACAAAAGCTAGATAAAATAAAAGTTCCACTGACTACAATAAAATGTCCACTACATGCAAAAGAAACTCTCAAAGAGTTTCCGGAATATATTGGTAAAATTTTAGTCTTTTGATCTGTGACATAGTTAATTGGGTGGTGCAGTGGATAGCACAACTGCATTTCACCAAGACTGCCGAGGTTTGATTCCCTATCAACCGTGAAAAGGTACAAAGTCTGACCCAAGAGGGATAATCATGTGATTCACTGAGATAACTCCAAAGTGTTGGACAGAGAGAGCAATATGTTCAAGCGGCAGATAAAAGAAGTCATCTGGATACGCCGCAGTGAGTCAGTTCTAAATCGAGATGAGGGGGCTCATAGACTCTCGCACACCTATGACCAAGTATTAAACAAAGCTAGTAGCTGAATCGATTCATCATTTTTTACATGTATAAAAACTAATTGTTTATTAATACTTATAGTGTATCTGAATCGACTTTCATTATATATTGCTAACTTATGAATATTTTACACCTTTGTGTACATACGCTTCACTGGTCATTTGTCTGATGAAAGTGACAGGGTACGTATCATACTTTTCACCGAAACGTTACACATAAACATTTACTGGTTGTGATACATAACCTTTCTACTATAGGGACTAGGATCATTTGTAGATGGGTACAAGTCATTTGTTTAATGGGACATTGTGGATGACAATATTTCAGGGTGGAAGGAAACCGAAACGCACATCTTCAGACGCTCTACAAAACAAAGATAAGCTACACCGGTGTACATTTGTTTATTGGGATGTTGTGGATGACAATATTTCAGGGTGGAAGAAAACCGAAACGCACATCTTCAGACGCTCTACAAAACAAAGATATGCTACTCCAGTGTGCATCTTACCATTTCATCAAACATCTAAAATAGCTACAAAAACACAACACTGAAGAATATACTAAATGTATTCTACACAACACAGACAGACTACACCAATCACATTTCAACAAGATCACTGATGAACTTCTGCGTAAGATGACACTTTTGTACGGCCCAGCATGTAATCATTGATTAGCACCAGTGTCAAAAAAATTCTAATGAAGATTGTCCGATACAAATATTCAATTTCCCACTTCCAATATTAACTCTTTCACCCCTGAAATTTCATAATGAACTATTCCAACCTTGGAATTGGAAGGGTTCAAATGAGTAGTCAGGGGTGAATGAGTTAACAGTAATGATAAGATTTATGTTAAATATTACGTGTTTAATAGTTTCATAATAATGTGCAAAAGTAATGTTGTTGTTCTTCGCTATGTTAGTTTAAGATGGTGGAGTTTTCCAAACAGAATCGCTGTGAAGATTACTTGCATATTTAATGGTTTAAAGTTGGTATATAGTTCAAGCACTAACACGCTGGATATACTGAATTGACATTAACTAAGGATTCTATGAGAAAGCATTAATGTATGTCAACCCTAATCAAAGTTACATCATGTTCAAGATAATTTTATTTAAATTGAATAAAAAAATATGAATATTTAAGAAATTCTTAATTTGATAAAAAATTACATCTTAAATTATATAATGACTTCGCATGTGCGAAGATATCACTTTTATTATTGACCAATCAGAACTGTGCATTCTATTCACTGCATTGAAAACATCAGATTTTTTTGTTCAGATGCAAATGAAGTGACTGTAGAAAAAGTCATTGTTTTGATTCATCATGCTACCTACACTAATGTATTTACTTAACTATGCCATCAATTACATTTTTGAAAGCAAATCTTCCCAGATAATTGCAGACAAAGCGCAATTGCATTTAGCAGCCAATTCAAAATGACGCACTGTGAGCACTGTTGTCAAGCATGACATCATAAGAGTATGATGCCCAATTGAATTTTATAAGCTCTCTGCACTTTATTAAAGCCATAAAAAAAAATCGTCTTCTAGTGACATGTCAATTTAACTTGCTCAACTTTTGATCATAGAAGATGCTAAATGGTTTCCTCCTTTTAACTCATTCACCCCTGAAGACACATTTGAACTCTTCCAATTCAAATGTTGGAATAGTTCATTATGAAATTTCAGGGGTAAATGAGTTAAATACCACAAATATTTCATCTGTATAGCATTATATACCTGTTTTTGTCAGAATTCTGCCACGTTTGTGAAAAATATATAATATATTCATAAGGAAATCATCAAATATTCTTTACGTACGATGTATCATAGGTCATGTACTTTGAACTGACTTTTCCATCTGAAAATTATCAATCAACATCATATAATTTTAAGTTCACTTCTTATTGGAACTCCATTTACCATAAATCTATCAAACAAACTGGACACTTTCCTGTTTTATTCCAACTTTTTAATTTCTGCTTTCATAGGCAAGCTGCCAATATGTTTTTGTAATATCAATCCTAGCTGACTTCTAGTGTCCCATATATGTCAAAAACATTCTGACAAACAGAAGCAGAAGTATAGGAAAAAAGCATGCAATATCTAGTTATACATTATAAAATAAATATTTAGAAAAATATGTACAAAATGCATCATTATTTACACATTGATCACATACCTGAGGAAACAACTTTTGTCTCAATGTTTTCTGTGGTAAAAGTAATGTTGTAATAATTAGCACTCAAAAGAATATGTTTCGAACAAGAGGCTCAGACAGCCTGGATGAACAGACGTACGATTGACGACAGACGGACGAAGGACGACAGACGCCGCACTATGGGCCAGGTGAGCTAATAAAAAAATGTTTTTCATATATAGCTTACACATGACAGGCACTGGGTTCGATCCCCGAAATCGTCGTACACATGGAATATTCAGAGAAAGTGTTTTTCTCCTGCCCACACAACTCCAACAACCCAGGTTGAGTATAAATTGGTCTGGGGTGGATGTTGCGGTATCTGTGCTGTAGCATTCAAGTGAGGTTGCACTATATAAATGATGCTGATGGAAGCACAGTCCCACTATGAACTGAACACATTACATCTCCAGCACACATGCAGGCATATATACACATATTGGGAGATATTAGCCAGGTGGCATAGGACTAGTAGCTAGCGCCTGATATGGCAGCTCCTGCAAATTCCTCAAATTGTATTGATTAATGTATATGCTTATTTCATAAATTGTATATCTATGTACTGTAAAGCACTTTCGAGTGGCTTATGTTAGCTCAATAGGGCGCTATATCAAATGCTGTATATTATTATTATTACAGTAACCTTTCCCCGAGTTTCCGTTTGGATTCACCTGTTGCATGGTTAGGCAGGGATACTTCTGTTTACCAGGTAGCTTAGTCGGTTCAGCAATGTTATTACAATCTGAAGTCCAGGATTCAAATCCCAATCTAGCCCCACTGATTTATCTTTACACTACGAACACTATTGTTGCTGATTATATTTTGCCTACTTCATTCACTTATTATTTCTCATAAAGCTATTAAGGTCCCGCAAGGTATAGTTTTCTTTTCAGAAATGATTTATCAACGCTTTAGTCAGTTTCCAACGCTTAGTTACAGTTTCTGGCAGTGATATCGGGATCACCAAGGCAAAAATATAATTTCTATGTTTTTTTGTGATTCACAATCTGTACAGCCTGCACACTTTGCATTCAGAGAGACTGTGACCTTTACCTTGCTATTATAATGAAGGTCAATGACCTTGACTTTATACCTCATGCTAGCTTTTTCTCATCCTCGACACTCCAGGGGTTAACCCTTTCACCCCTATGTAACTTTAGTAGACTCTACCATGCATTGATCTGGATGAGTCCATTATGGTCTACAGTGGTGAAAGGGTTAAATATGCTTACTTTAGCTCTCTGCACCACTGGAATATGTCATGATAGTAAAATTGAAGGCAACGCGGTTACATATTTATTTGAGCTCATGTAAAAAATCCTGACCAATTGCCAGGCTGATACCTGTCCTTTGAAGATCACAGAGGAGCGACACCCGACTTTAAAGCCAGTCAATTTTACTGTTAGGTGACTGCGAAATTGTTTTGATGTCATCAAATGATCAAACTAGTCTTCTTGTCTTATCCATAAGGTGGTGCACACTAAACTCATTCACCCCTGATGACACATTTGAACTCTTCCAATTCAAAGGTTGGAATAGTTCATTATGAAATTTCAGGGGTGAATGAGTTAACCTTAGCCAATGAGGGAGAAGTTTTCTTGTGATTTGTGTACTTACAGATTTCTGTTTGAGTGGTTTGACCCCGACAGATGACCCCATCCGTAACACGAGGGCAGCAAACAATCGGTGGTAGTTCTTATTCACCTGTTCCTCCGTCTCCTCAACGTCAAATATCACCTTCATAGCACATGTAACCTGGAATAGAAACACAAGTTCTCTTAATACTCGATATAATGACCCTCATTTACACGTCCAATATCACCTTCATAGCACATGTAACCTGGAATAGACACACAAGTTCACTTAATACTCGATATAATGACCCTCGTTTACACGTCAGATATCACCTTCATAGCACATGTAACCTGGAATAGAACCACAAGTTCACTTAATACTCGATATAATGACCCTCATTTACACGTCCAATATCACCTTCATAGCACATGTAACCTGGAATAGACACACAAGTTCACTTAATACTCGATATAATGACCCTCATTTACACGTCAAATATCACCTTCATAGAACATGTAACCTGGAATATAAACACAAGTTCACTTAATACTCGATATAATGACCCTCGTTTACACGTCAGATATCACCTTCATAGCACATGTAACCTGGAATAGAAACACAAGTTCAGTTAATGCTCGATATTATGACCCTCATTTCATTTGCCACCTCATTTACTGTCAAGATTTTTTAATGTCCCTTTTTCTGATTTATTAAGAATTTCCTTTATATATTTCCCTCAATTCATTGCCAAACCCCTTTATAACGCCAAATTTTCTCTGGACAAATGGTGGCAGTATAATGAAGTTTTACTATATCAGCAACAAACATGAAATTGTAAATATCACCTTCATTGCACACATTATCTAATATATAAACACAAGTTCACCTTCTTAGCACATGTAACCTGGAATATAAACACAAGTTCACTTAATACTCGATATAATGACCCTCGTTTACACGTCAGATATCACCTTCATAGCACATGTAACCTGGAATAGAAACACAAGTTCACTTAATACTCGATATAATGACCCTCATTTCATTTGTCACCTCATTTACAGTCAAGATATTTTGATATCCTCTTTTCTGGTTTTATTAAGAATTCCTTAATATATTTCCCTCAATTCATCGTCAAACCCCTTCATAAAGTAAAATTTTCTCTGGACAAATGGTGGCAGTATAACAAGTTTTACTGTCAAGATATTTTAATGTCCCTTTTTCTCTTTTCATTGAGAATTTCCTTTATATATTTCCCTCAATTCATCGCCAAACCCCTTTATAATGACAAATTTTCTCTGGACAAATTGTGGCAGTATAATGAAGTTTTACTATATCAGCAACAAACATGAAAATGTAAATATCACCTTCATTGCACACATTATCTAATATATAAACACAGGTTCACCTTCATAGCAGATCCGCGGTAACCTAGAATTTGATCACAATGTCACCTTAATGGCATATACAGACGAACCTTGTTATCTCGAAGTCGACGGAGTCGTGGGAAAACTTTGAGTTATCCGAGTATTCAAGTTATGCGGGTTCAAAAATGGTATGAAAGCTGTTTAGACAAAGCACTAGCAGTTGTTGATTTTATTAATAACCAACGCTTGTAATCAATCGATGAATGATATACATAATCAATATAGCAAATACAGGTATGTAATTTTACAACTAATACGCTTTCAAAAATAAGAGGCTGATATTCTACACATTGAAATTTTAAGTTGTCAAGTTAACTTTTCCTTGAAGTTAAAAGGTTTATTCATAAAGACATGTTCCTTCAAACCAAAGCTGGGGAGTTAAAATATACTCTCACATGTCTACCAAAAACTCTTGGATATATATGCAATATTGCCTTCATATTACACATAAGCTAGTTCCTAGAATATACACAATATCAATATATATAGGGTGGTCAAGTGGCACAATTTATAGCGCTCTTTCCTTTCATGAAGGCAGGGGGGGTTGATTCACTGATCAGACTTGAAATGGTATGGGGTCACTTGCCGGACCACATGGGTTTTCTCCAGGTGCTCTGGTTTACTCCCACATAAGACCCCCTGCGCACCATCATCCGAACTAACAAGAGTGAATAATATAAGTTGGTAGAACTTGCTTCACAACTGTTGTGAAAATAAATAAAGTTTAATTTTTTAAAACCGACATCTTATCCACGGCACATGCCACTTCAAAGATTCCAAACAAACATGTAACCTTCATGGAATATAATATCTACCTAGAATATGCATTACACAGAGATACTCACAGCCAAGGGGGCTACTGTGGCGTTTTTAATTGTCCGGTCACCGTCGGTGCGTTCCTCGTATGGCAGAGTTCGCTGTAAAGTCTCCAGTAGGTGGTCTATCATACTGGAGGCTATCTGAGCGTCTTGGGACAATATTTGCCAAATCTCAACCACATTCCTGTCAAAATAAACAACCGAGTCAACACATTTCATGATGGCACAGCATTCAAATTACTAAATAAGAGTACTTATTTCAGTCACAGATTTTAGAATATAGTCGATTAGCGCATTGCAGAATTGCGGTGATTACAATATATTAAGTTCCCAAATAAAATATCATTAGAATGACAGTACATGAAAATTTTTAAAATTTTGAAATATGAAGTTTTTTAACACATCTAAATGAATTTCCAAGAAAAATAACTACTTTATCAAAATCAAACTTTTACTTTATGCACAAACAATGTATATTTAAACGTGTTGCAACATTTCCAGACCGATTGGTTCCTTTGCCAAGCTATGACTGAGTGAGCAATTTGTATTGTTTACCTCATCCTGGGTTAAGTCACATATGAAATATACAATTACGTCGCAGCATTGCAGAGGTATACATATGGCTCACTCAGTCATAGCTCGACAAAGGGACCAGTTGGTCCTGAAATGTTACATCATGTTTACTACATACATTGTTTGTGTAGAAAGTAAAACTGTGATATTGCATATTTCTATACTGATGAATCTTATTGAAGACATAAAAAATATTTCTTGTCAAATTCAATTATGCATTAACCCTTTCACCTCTATATAACTTTAGTAGACTCTACCGCACATTGATCTGGATTAATCCATTATGGTCTACAGGGGTTAAAGGGCTAAAGGATTGACCATTGTGTCAGTAGTTAGACATAGAAAAAGAAAACTTTTTCTCTTCGAGCTGGAAGGGAAGCTTTATTAATAAGGCATATCAACATTTGAATAATGGACATCACTATTTCATCATTCTGGTTCAGGTCACCTATAGGTGATGAACTACTGGAAAGCGTGATTTTGGAAAATGTTCACAAATACTTACGCATCATAAGGGAGCGGGAAGTTGAGCAGTGATTGCATCACGGAACTAAGATGGTAGCTGGTGAGTGTACGTATGGTGCGGAGCGTGCCCGTCCTCGTCTGGGCAAACTCTATCTGGCCTAGCTTCTCGTGGAGAGACGACACGATGTTACCCACCTGTCAAGGGGAGACAACAAACATCATCAGAATCGAACAATATTATTATTAAAGTCAAGAGAGACAACACAGTATCATCAAAGTCAAGGGAGACAACACAGGACCATCAAAACAGAGACAACACAGGACCATCACAAGGGAGACAACACAGAATCATCAAATGCAAGGGAGACAATAAAGCATCTTCAAAGTCAAGGGAGACAACACAGGATCATCAAAAACAAGGGAGACAACACAGCATCATCAGAATCAAGGGAGACAACACAGCATCATCAATCAAGGGAGACAACACAGGACCATCAAAGTCAAGGGAGACACCCAAGCTTCATCAGTCAAGTGAGACAACATGGCATCATAAAAGTTAAGGAAGACAACATAGCATCATAAGTCAAGGGAGACAACACAATTTGTCAGTCAAGTGAGACAACACAGAACCATAAGTGTCCAGGGAGAAAACTTAGCGTCATCAGTCAAGGAAGACAACACAGTTAACATTTGATTTAAAGGAGACTTCTCAGCCTCAGCAACACAGCATACTTGAGTCAACGAAGACATTTTTAGTAACATGAAACCTTGTTGTCTTTGAAATTTTGTGAGGTCTACAAAATCTCAAATTTCCAAAGACTTGTTGTCTATGGGACTTGCTCATCAGATTCAAGGGAGATAACACATCATCGTCAGAGCCAAGGGAGATAACAAGGCATCATCAGATTCACAGAAAACCTACAGCATCATCAAAGTCTGGTGAGTCAACACAACATCACTGTAGTCAAAGGAGGCAACAAGACATCATCAAAATAAAGGGAGACAACACAGTATCATCAGAGTCACGGGAGACTACACAGCATCGTTAGAAAACAAGGGCGATAACAAGACATCAGATGAAAGGGAGACAACACAGCATCATCAGATTATAGGACACAGGACCTATAACTGACAGTCATGATCACTTCTTTGTACCAAAGTGTTGTATTTAACCCAATAAATGGCCCATCTTTTCTATTGCCTTTATCCCTTTTTTTCTTTCCAAGGTCCAAGGGTTTCATCACATAACCCTGATTAACCAACCTTCTTGTTACAAGGTGTCTGTATGTATTTAATCAGAAATTTGCAAGGTTCTGTAAACATTCATTAATTCTCCTAACTAGCTAAGTACCCAGGACGCTTTTTTGGTTGAATACAGTTTGTACCTAGACTAATATTCATATACATATCTATATTCATGGGTCAAAGAAGTAATATAGACGGTAAAATCCCATGTAACACTGGATCCTAATGGAGGTATGTCCGTAGGATACAAATTACTTAAAATAGTATATGGGGCAAAGAAGTATTTATGTATATATCTAGATACTTCACCATATTGTCTGACGTTACCTGTTTGAGAACTTCTCCGCCGCGGGCCTTCATCATTCCATTCAGTACCACACAGGCCCCAGAGGAGCTGTGTGATTGGGGGTCTAGCAGTCCCTCCTGTAGAACCTCCATGAAGGTTCGTAACTGGTCTGCAGGTAACTTCTTAGCTATCACCTTCAAAATAAATATTAAAGTCAAAACTCGTTCTTCGAAACAAATGATCACCACCAGAAACAAATCCACATTAAGTAGAATTTTTTGGCAAAGGAGTTTAAGATCACTTTTGGATAGGTAGTCCGGTGGTGCAGTGCAAGATAGAGCACTCGCCTTTCACCAAGGCAACCAGGGTTTGATTCTCCGATTAAACGTGAAAAGGTACGGGGGTCACCTTTCCTCCCACATCGGTTTTCTCCGGGTACTCTGGTTTCAAGCCCCTCCGCACACTAACATCCGAGCCAATAAGAGTGATTAATATAAGTTGAAATAACTTGTTTCGAGATTGTTGTAAAATAAACTAGAAAATGTCTGTAAGACATAAATGGGACGGGACGGGATGCGACAGGACGGGATGGGATGCGATGCGTCGGGACAGGACAGCCATGGGCAACACAATATGGCCCCTCATTTTATGGCGGGGGCATAATTAAGTATATATATCACTTTTTGGATTCATTGTGTCATTCAATTCACACAGGGTAGACTGATTGCCGAGTCATTATTGAAATGGAACGTGATACAGTTTCTATAAAAGAACTAGGGCCATTAAGGGTCATTTCTGGCCTCATCAGGTATTTAGAATTAGTTGTTGTATTTGTTATCTGGAACATTAATGAAGTAGGCAAATATGAAAATTCAAATCCATCCGACATCTGGTATAGGAGATATGGCATAACAAAGAGAGGTATAAACTTTATTTGACCTTGACCTCTGTTTGTACTGACCTTGGCAAGGTCGTTGATGACACTAAACAGTACAGTGGGGTCACCCTTCTCCAGCCGTTCTTTGAGCGTTGACAAGGCGTCAATCATTGGATCCTTATAATCTGCTGGATTTCCTGTGTATTTCCAAAACAAAGAGAGATGCAGTCTGCAATTCTACACAGAATAGGTAAAAGTACTGTGAAACATTCATTGTTCCGCATCTCCGACCATTTACTATGGTATCAGCATACGAACAAGGGGACATAACTCTGTACATAGAGGGAACAAGACCTTAATTCAGTACACAAAACTATGCTTTCAGAAGAGGTGCTCACATACAAAACTTAGCTATTGCTGCAAAAAGAATGTACTGCGAAATCAGATATTTTTTCGTGGGGCCCAAATTTTCGTGGTTTCCCGACAAAATACCATTTTGTGAGTACATTTATTTGTGGATTACAAGTAACCAATTAAAAAAAGAAGAATTGTTTATATTAAACTTATAATTACTCCGTTGACCTATAAATTCATGGATGAAGATAACCCACAAAATCAATGAAATTAAAAAACCCACGAAAATTAGTGATTTCACAGTATATGAAATAAGGCAAGGCAAAGTGACTAAAAGATGAAGGTTCATGAAGAATTACAGTAGTCTAGTGGTAGGACGCCTGGCTCGTGACCGAAGGGTTGCAGGTTCGAGTCTAGGCACGGCACTGTGTTGTATCTTTGAGCAAGATACTTTACTCTGCTTGTTCAAGTCTACTCAGCTGTAAATGAGTATGTGGTTGGGCAGTGCTCGAATTGTAGAATGCTAGCTGTGAACACCGAAATGGCAGCACCAGCTGTATGCTCCCCTGGGAGTTGAGAAAGATATTGGCTGGATGCAAAGGCCCTATTACCACGGATAATAATTTGAGAACCGCTTTGAGACGACCTACGAACTAGGTTGTGATAAAGCGGTATATAAGAACCTCAAATTATTATTATTATTATGAAGGACGGAAGACTGATTACGGGAAATATCAGCCCAATGAACCATACAAACGATGAGCGGAGAAGGGACTTACCGTCTATTCTGGAGGCCATCTTGAGTACGACCTGTATACAGTCCACTGCTAGCTGTCGTACCTGGGTGTTAGGATCAGTACAGCGAGGGACCAGGCGAGCTAACACAGTACACTCATTCTCAAAGCCTTTAATATCCTGCAATAGTTAGTAATCAAAAGATACAGATATTTAAGGCTTGTCTTACTTGAATATAAATGTGAATTATCTAAATCAACACAAAGTCATACATCACTTAGTGATTTCTTCAAATCTATCAAGTTACATGGACAACCAATTGCTTTACTGATCTCTGAAAAGGGGTCCATTTATTGTTTTACTAACCTCTGAATGGGATCTTTGTTTTTGTTATATTAACCTCTGGAGAGGGGTGCATGTTTTTATTTTACTGACCTCTAAAGATTTAGTTTTACTGACCTCTGAAAAAGGGTCCATGAATTAGTTTTACTAACCCCTGAAGAAGGGTTCATGATTTTGTTTTATGAACCTCTGAAGATGGTCCATGATTTAGTTTTACTAACCTCTGAAGAATGGTCCATGATTTAGTTTTACTGACCTATGTAGAAGGTCCATGATTTAGTTTTACTGATCTCTGAAGAAGGGTCCATGATTTAGTTTTACTAACCTCTGAAGAAGGATCCATGATTTAGTTTACTGACTGCTGAAGAAGGGTCCATGAATTGTTTTACTGACCTCTGTAGAAGGGTCCATGATTTAGTTTACTGACCTCTGAAGAAGGGTCCATGATTTAGTTTACTGACCTCTGTAGAAGGGTCCATGATTTAGTTTAACTGCCTCTGAAGAAGGGTTCATGAATTGTTTTACTGACCTCTGTAGAAGGGTCCATGATTTAGTTTACTGACCTCTGAAGAAGGGTCCATGATTTAGTTTACTGACCTCTGGAGAAGGTCCATGATTTAGTTTTACTGACCTCTGAAGAGGGGTCCATGTTCTCCAGTATGTACTCCTCTGCCATGAGGAGTGTTTCCAGGGACCGCACCCGTCGATGGTCATCTAGCTCGAAAAACCATTTCATCATGTGCTGAAAGTAAAAAGTCATATAAAACAAATATATAATATTGACAGGTCCATCGGTTGAAAATAAGTAAGATAAATTAAAGGTCAATGGAACAAATATATAATATTGACAGGTTCATCAGTTGAAAATAAGTAAGATAAATTAAAGGTCAATGTAACAAATATATAATATTGACAGGTCCATCGGTTGAAAATAATAAAATAAATTAAAGGTAAATGTAACAAATATATAATATTGACAGGTCCATCGGTTGAAAATAATAAAATAAATTAAAGGTCAATGTAACAAAAAAGGTAACATATATACAGGTCATTGTTGAAAACAGGTCCATGTGTTGCAACTTTATAGGTCAATGTATTAAACATAGGTAATTCTGTTAAAAATAGGTCAGATGTACAGGTCAATGTACTAAAAATAGGTCAGATGTACAGGTCAATGTACTCAAAATAGGTCAGATGTACGGGTCAGTGTACTCAAAATAGGTCAGATGTACAGGTCAATGTACTCAAAATAGGTCAGATGTACGGGTCAATGTACTCAAAATAGGTCAGATGTACAGGTCAATGCCCTCAAAATAGGTCAGATGTACGGGTCAGTGTACTAAAAATAGGTCAGATGTACAGGTCAATGTACTCAAAATATGTCAGATGTACGGGTCAGTGTACTCAAAATAGGTTAGATGTACAGGTCAATGTACTCAAAATAGGTCAGATGTAAGGGTCAATGTACTCAAAATAGGTCAGATGTATGGGTCAATGTACTCAAAATAGGTCAGATGTATGGGTCAATGTTCTCAAAATAGGTCAGATGTACAGGTCAGTGTACTCAAAATAGATCAGATATACGAGTCAATGTACTCAAAATAGGTCAGATGTATGGGTCAATGTTCTCAAAATAGGTCAGATGTACAGGTCAGTGTACTCAAAATAGGTCAGATGTACGAGTCAATGTACTCAAAATAGGTCAGATGTACAGGTCAGTGTACTCAAAATAGATCAGATATACGGGTCAATGTACTCAAAATAGGTCAGATGTACAGGTCAGTGTACTCAAAATAGATCAGATGTATGGGTCAATGTTCTCAAAATAGGTCAGATGAATGGGTCAATGTACTCAAAATAGGTCAGATGTATGGGTCAATGTACTCAAAATAGGTCAGATGTACAGATCAGTGTACTCAAAATAGGTCAGATGTATGGGTCAATGTACTCAAAATAGGTCAGATGTACAGGTCAATATACTCAAAATAGGTCAGATGCTAAACAGGACATGGAAACAACAGGTATGCTCCAAAGTAGAAATGGTGTGTATCATTTAAGGTCACACAGGTATAATTTGGCTTTGATACTGGTAATGATATGGTATAGTTTATCACTTTACTTTAGCATTTACTTCATGAACTTATTTACAGGAATACTGTATACCATGAAATCTCGCCGCAGTTTAATTTTTTGCCTTTTTCGTCCTCTGCAATGAGGGCGAATTTATCATGATAGGGAACAGTAGTAAGCTATGTAATAAACATAGTAATCAAATGTGTAGGGCGAAATTAACATAGGGCGAAAATGGATTTCATCGGTGTAGGGCGAAAATTTGACTGTGCAAACGTTTCCGGTTATACAGTATTCTTCCAATGACATGTGTGTGAGGATTTAATTGCAAAAAAGAAATAATTGTTACAACTCTTATAGCATCTCCCGTTTAATTCTGGGGTTTTGGGGGGGTTTTTTGAAAATCAATTCTTCAACATCTATTCTCACACGTTACCCCAAAAGTATCAATTAAATGAAAAAAAAATTAGATTATTTACTGTACATTTAACAGCAGAATGTTGTTCTAAATTAGCATGTTTCTTTTAAATCAAATTTTCAAATTCTTCACATTTTACATATAGGTAACTATCATTAGTATTACAAAAGATCTTTGTAAAGTACGTAATTATTTCACGTTACATGTGACCTTGGCATGTGACCTTGACCTTACCTTGAAGACACAGTCAAGGCCATTGGGTGTGAGTTCCTTGCTGAGGATCACACAGATAAGGTCGTGCATGGCCTCAGTGGTAGACTGTAGTAACACCTCAGCTTCCAGCATCTGGTCGTAGGCCTCCTCTTTTCCTTTCTTAGGTGACAGCCCCTCCTTCGGCAAAACGAACAGACAGTCTGTCGCTGTCTTAATTAAATCAAAGATCTCTGCCTCAGACAGCTTAGGATCCAATTTACTATAGATCACTGTTAAGGAAACATCTGACTGATTTTTTTGATGAAATTTCATTGAAAATTAAATGAAATTTCATTGAAAATTTAATGAAATTTCATTGAAAATTTAATGAAATTTTATTGAAAATTTAAATTTTGTCACACAAATGAAAGTAAAGTAAGTACATCAGAACACTCATACTATGAAAATCAGCTACATGCACATGCTCAAATTTGTATCGACAGAAATAGTCATTTTAAAGTTGGTTTACCGTTAATCTGATTGGTTGTGTTACTAACAAGAGACCTAAAAGGCCTGTACTACTACTGATAGGTAGAGCCCCAAATGCAGAAATATTTTTAATATTTGTTACTTTGATGATAACATTTTTATATGATTGCTTAAGCAGCAAGGCCCATGTGAGTAAGTAACTAGTAAGGTAACAAATCAATATTTATATATTCCCTTGAAACTATAATAGGACTTCCAAAATAGCTATTTTTAAGTAATTTTGTGAAAAACCAGAAGAGATCTTTTAGATTTGTGTCGGAGGTCAATTTTCCGGGCATTCTGGACATCGTTATTGAGGGAAAAAATTGATGTGCAAAATAGACAAGTAGAATTTGTTTCAGTAATTTCGGCTCTATTTAAAAAGTACCTGCTCAAATACTTGGCTCCGCTAGCATCAACGGATTATTGACATATATTTCCTTACCAGATAGCCAAATCAAACTGAAGGTAGTACCAAACACCGTTATAGCCCCTTAGCCCAAATGTATATTTGTGTAATAAATTGAAGTATTTAATCTCGATATTCCTTGCTTATGTCTTTTGCTCATAAATTACATAGGTGCGCAGATTACACGGTTTTCCAGGTAACCAGCATGTTCTTGTTGGTACTTGTACTTTAAAGATATTTTTAGCGAAGTTTAACGTTAAGGATACACCAAGGTAGCGCAAGATTTCATCGCAAGCGCTCTTGTCTCATTCGTGATGGAAGTCGTAGATTCTGCCTTCATGTAGCTCTGTGTAAAAACAAAATGTTCTTAAAATTGATATAATTTTTAAACAAAATTTTGATCCATCATATTAAGTTTGCCTTAAACTTAAATTTGACCAACAACTAACATGTAGGTATCTCGGGTCAGAATACAGAATTCTTTCTACTATAGGAAGAATGGAGCTTTGTTAAATGCCAAAATCGTTGTAGCAAGGCATTGTCAGAGGAAGAGAGAAAGCACTTCTATACTTCCCACATATTCAATTGTAAGATTATGCAGTTGGAGCATAAAAAGGTCTTAAATTTGGTACTGCGGTGTCTGCTCTGTAATATTCAAGTATTAGCCAGGTGACATATGACCAGTTGTTTTGGGTGGGGCAGTGGCTCACACACTTGCCTTTCATTAAGGCGACCGGGGACCGGTTCCCCGATTGGATGTGAAAAAGTATGGGGTTAGCTGCCCGACCACATGGGTTTTCTCAAGGTACCCTGGTTTCCTTCCACATAAAGACCCCCCGTGCATCAGGGCAAACAAGAGTGGTTATCATAAGTTGAAATAACTAGTTTCATAATTGTTGTAAAATAAATAAAGTTTATTTTACCAGTAGCTAGTGCCGCACTAATAAGGCAGATCCTGTGAAATTCTCATATTGTGTTAATTGTATGAATTATATATCTAAGTACGGGTACATGTATCTTAGCTAGATAGGGTGCTATATCAATATATTTTTTATTGTAAATAATGTATTTATGAAACAAATGCGACCAGGATGCAAACATTACACTTGGACATGCTATATGAGGATTTGTGATAGATGAATACACACATATATATAGCAGTGCTATTTCACAGAGAAAAGTCCAAGAATTATATCATAATGTTTGAAAATGTAGCCACCGTAAAAGTCAAAAAAGTTGCAAACAGCAGTGACAAATTATTCTCACTGAACAATAAAAAGGCCATTTTATTTTTATTTTGTATGTATCAGGTACCCCAACCGACCCTAGTTTTTACCTCCAACCCTTACAATTTTATCTCACTTGAACGCACTCCATCCAGTGTTGGGATAACTTGTCCACCGGGTGTAAACAAAGTGATGGAATCTGATGGTATAATACCATCTCTACTTCATAGGCAGGTATCAAAACCAAATGGAAGTCCGATATAATTATTTACAGATGTGTTCGGTAATTTTTGTAATTTTTGAAAATTAGCCCCCACCTCTCAAAAAAGTAAAAAATAAATTAAAAAAATAAGATAGAAATAAATGAAGAAATACATGGATTTTGAATGGATGGTATGTTTAAGAAGTGTTCCCCTATTCTTAAATCTCTGCAAAAAAAGTGAAATTGGGATATGGAAGGGAGAGCACTCATTCTCCCCTCAAATTGAATCATACATTTCAAAGCATCTGGGCCAACAAGAGTGATAAATATAAGTTAGAGAACTTGATTCACAATTGTTGTAAATTAAATAAAGTTAATATCTAATAGTTCAAAGCAGCTTATAATCAGAAGTGTATGACGAAAAAACAAGAAGTACAACATTTAAAACATTAAATGAAATTCATGCTTGACATTTTTCTAATCAGATATTAACCATATTGAACAAAAGAAATCAACATCCACTGACAGAAAATACAACATTTCTTAATTAACTAGGAATAAAACAGACATATATTATATCTCTGTGGTTCACAACAGAAAATAGAGATGGCCTCCAAGCGTTCTTTCCATGTCCCCATTTCTTCTTTTACATGATAATTCCTCTACATATCGCCATTGGAAAACCTCTTTATAATGCCAAAATAATTCTGAACACCTGGTGGCAGTATACAGTCTTACTGTGTATAGGTACCAATATTATGTGTCTGTATGATGAGACAGGAAAACATTCTACACCTGCATTAGGAACCTGTTAACTGAGATAGGTGTATAATGAGATATTTATGTCTCTATTCTGAGATACCTGTATTCTGAAATGTATGTACCTGTATTTTGAAAACTATGTACCTGTATTCTGAAATCTATGTACCTGTATTCTGAGACTTATGTACCTGTATTCTGAGATAGCTGTATTCTGAGATAGCTGTATTCTGAGAACTATGTACCTGTATTCTGAAAACTATGTACCTGTATTCTGAAAACTATGTACCTGTATTCTGAAAACTATGTACCTGTATTCTGAAAACTATGTACCTGTATTTTGAGATAGCTGTATTCTGAGACTTATGTACCTGTATTCTGAGATAGCTGTATTCTGAGAACTATGTACTTGTATTCTGAGATACCTGTATTTTGAGAACTATGTATCTGTATTCTGAGATACCTGAATTCTGAAAACTATGTACATATATTCTGCGATACATCTATTCCGACATCTTTCTACTTGTATTCTAAATTACCTGTATATTGAGATATTTTCACCTGTATCATAAGACCTATGTACCTACATAAAGAGACACCTATATACTGAGACATTACACCTGTATTATGTACCTGTAGGTGATTAAGAAATTCTCCTCTATTGCTGAAGTTATACTGAGACTTGAGGTGATCAGGGTGGAGGGCTTTGCCGATCAGGTCCACGGTTCGAATCAAGTTTTGTTTGACGCCCATGTCCTGCCAACAAAAACTTACAACATTAATCATGCATTCGACCATGCAAAAGGTACCTGTAAAAACTCTAGGTATTCGGAGCGCTGAGTGAAATTGAAATCAAGTTTCCGACGACGTGAAATGTTGTCCAAAGTTTTCCCGATCAACTCTATAGTGCGTATACAACATCTCTTCATGTCCACTGTCTCCATCTGTCATAAGGTAAAAGACATCAACGACAAACATACATACATTTTTCAAAGCAAATATTTTTTTACTGCAGAACTGACTCTCAACAGATTGTAAAACCCTATGGTATTTTTTTCAGAATGAAATCTATGTATCGCAGTATAAAACTTTGAGTTGTAATTTCATAATTATCTGAAATTTACGATGTTATCAAAAGGTATTATATTATTGCATTTTACTGCAATTTCCATGAACATTTGATATATTGCAGTATTTTAATAATATTTTTTTTATAGTTTTACAATTGCAAAAAGACTCTGAGAGGTTAGAAGTCACTGGAAATGTTTAGATTATGAATGTTGATAATATCCTTGTGACCTGTAACTGTAAAACATCATACTATGTTAACTCATTCACCCCTGACGACATTTGTATTCTTCCAATTCAAAGATTGGAATAGGTCATTATGAAATTTCAGGGGTGAATGAGTTAAAGAAGTTGTGGCTACCGTCACCAAAGACAGGACGTAATCAAAGGTCATTTGGTTACCTTGGTCTGAGATAAGTGAGGTTCATGGATATGTGGTTACTTTGGTCTGAGATAAGTGAGGTTGATGGTTATATGGCTAACATGGTCAGCGATAAATGAGGTTCATGGTAATGTGGTCAACTTAGTCTGAGATAAGTGAGGTTCATGGATATGTGTTTACTTTGGTTTGAGATAAGTGAGGTTGATGGATAATATGTGGTTACCTTGGTCTGAGATAAGTGAGATTCATGGATATGTGGTTACCTTGGTCTGAGACAAGTGAGGTTCATGGATACGTGGCTACCTTGGTCTGAGATAAGTGAGTTTCATGGATATGTGTTAGGGTTTAGGGTCAGTGAAAGTGTGTAGGTGTGTGTGTGTGCAGTGTCATGTGGTATGCCATGTGACGGGGTTGCCTTGACGTTTGCAAAGTAGGGCTGTATGCCACGGAGAATGGTGGCTTCCATCCGGGCCACGATCGCGGTTGGGGGCGAAAACAGGGCCACAAAACCGTAACACAACATATTGGTCTGAGATAGGGGAGGGTCATGGATACGTGGCTACCTTGGTCTGAGATAAGTGAGATTCATGGATATGTGGTTACCTTGGTCTGAGACAAGTGAGGTTCATGGATACGTGGCTACCTTGGTCTGAGATAAGTGAGGTTCATAGATACGGGGCTACCTTGGTCTGAGATAAGTGAGATTCATGGATATGTGGTTACCTTGGTCTGAGACAAGTGAGGTTCATGGATACGTGGCTACCTTGGTCTGAGATAAGTGAGATTCATGGATATGTGTTAGGGTTTAGGGTCAGTGACAGTGTGTAGGTGTGTGTGTGTGCAGTGTCATGTGGTATGCCATGTGACGGGGTTACCTTGACGTTTGCAAAGTAGGGCTGTATGCCACGGAGAATGGTGGCTTCCATCCGGGACACGATCGGGGTTGGGGGCGAAAACAGGGCCACAAAACCGTAACACAACATATTGGTCTGAGATAGGTGAGGTTCATGGATACGTGGCTACCTTGGTCTGAGATAAGTGAGGTTCATGGATACATGGCTACCTTGGTCTGAGATAAGTGAGAATCATGGATACATGGCTACCTTGGTCTGAGATAAGTGAGGTTCATGGATAAGTGGTTACCATGGTCTGAGATAAGTGAGATTCATGGATATGTGGTTACCTTGGTCTGAGATAGGTGAGGTTCATGGATATGTGGTTTACTTTGGTCTGAGATAAGTGAGGTTGATGGTTATATGGCTACCATGGTCAGCGATAAATGAGGTTCATGGTAATGTGGTCAACTTAGTCTGAGATAAGTGAGGTTCATGGATACACAGTTACCTTGGCCTCTGCCAGATATGGTTCGATGACCTTGAGCATTCTGGCCTCCATTCTATACTTGCTGAGTTTAGGGTCAGTGACAGTGTGTAGGTGTGTGTGTGCAGTGTCATGTGGTATGTCATGTGACGGGGTTACCTTGACGTTTGCAAAGTAGGGCTGTATGCCACGGAGAATGGTGGCTTCCATCCGGGACACGATCAGGGTTGGGGGCGAAAACAGGGCCACGAAACCGTAACACAACATCAATGTAGCCTTCGTCCTCTCTATGTCAGCTTCTGACCTATCCTAAAAACAAAAGTACAAGTGTTTTAGGATTGTCTTACACAGGTTACAGGGGTCATGATATGCAATTCAGAGAGTTCAAAGGTCAATACAAATCCAAAAAGTGTTACAGTAATATACTCATGGAAGTGACTGTGAGAGTACGGTCAAACCATGTTATGTCAAGTCGTCCGAATCAATGATATAGAGGTCCAATGGCTGGTATATATAGCTTACCTGGATTTTATCTAATCAAACTCAAAATTAATAAGATTTTTTTCGAAATGTGACAACATGACAAAATTGAAATTATATGAATGTGAATACTGAGTGTTATTACAAATAGGAAAGCCAGAGACTAAATATCATTCATGTTCATTATATTGAACAAAAACATATTTGGTCAAATTTTTGAAAAATGTATATTATCAAGTTTTATTACAGACAAGCAGATAGCAGAGTCCACAGAGTATACATAGCTATGTCTCAAGCAAGCCTATGGTAGGAAATTTGACCTTGGCAATATTTATGAACATTACATACTTTCATTTCATCATTGCACTTGAGGAAACGCTTCCAAATTATTACAGAAAGCTCATTTTAGTATGCTAACGTCACGCTACCACAATTGGTACACTACCCAAATTGGTACACGGTCAGCAAATTGATCGAATAGTACTTTAAAATTAAATTTGAGCATTTTCCTTTGAAAGTATAACAAAAGAGATATTTATCAGCATTTCTGCTGAATAGTTTTGTTTTCAGGAACATTTTAAGAGTACAAGATGACTTCAAAGTAAACATAGCAGAAAACCAGTAAAAACGACGTATGTCGACGAAATTTTGTAGGATTTTCAAGGGGTTAAATATAAGAATGTTTTAATGTTATGTTTTAATGTTGATTTCTGGTCCTTATATTTGGATAATATAAAAGTGAATATACAGTTATAATTCAGTACGGTATCTATAAAAGCAATATATTTTGTTGTACGATATCGGCACATCAATTTGCATAAATAAAAACAAATTCCATAGCCTGTGATATGGTGTACCAATTTGGGTACTATTTCCGGCCGAAAAACGTCCGAAATCTCACTCCGAGTTTAGCGTTCTATTTTCAAAAACAAATTATTCAGATATAAAACATTTCCTGAAAATGAACCACCATAGGTAGTCTTTGTCAAGAATCAAGAAACATTCCGGATACAATATCTGAATTTTTAAAGATCACTAAAAAACTGTCAAAATTGTACCAATTGTGGTAGCGTGACATTAGCTGTCTGGTTATTATTTCTGTTATGTGATGTTACCTGTGCTGTTATTGTTCCATTAGTGTTTCATAAATATATTCAGCCTGTTAGTTAGAATCATTAGAATACTGTTAGTACATATATATATTTATTTTTGAAAAATGGAGAGTGTGTCATTCAAACATTAATAATGACATGAAAATACTTCTTTGCTTCAGTTGATGTGACTTCAAATTTACCATTAGATGAAAATGTTTTTTCCATTCTGAATACATAGATGAAAATCTTTTCTTTTTTGTTGTTGTTGTTGTTAATTGTGAATTTTAATTGCTGTTACAATGAAAAAACAATAAAAGCACCAACATTCCTAATTGAGGATGACACTGAAATATATGAAAATATGAACCTTCAGGAAGACCTGGATCAGATCCAATTATAGTCAGATACTTGGATGTTGAAATTTCACCCGGAAAAATGCAAAGTACTTTCATTAGGAAAAACTATTAATACCCCGCCGCTATATTTACAATATAATTAATTAGCACTTAAAAGAAAATTGCATGCACATTAAATTCCATAAAATACTGGTATAAGCAGGAATTTATTGACAGATACAGAGAGAGCAGCTTAATTAGAGAGAGAGAGTTTAGTAAATGTTATGTTTACTATTGACAGATAAATAGAGAGCAGCTCAATTAGAGAGAGAGTTTAGTAAATGTTATGTTTACTATTGACAGATACAAAGAGAGCAGCTTAATCAGAGAGAGAGTATAGTAAATTTTATGTTTACTATTGACAGATACAGAGAGAGCAGCTAAATTAGAGAGAGTTTAGTTAATGTTATGTGTACTATTGACAGATACAGAGAGAGCAGCTTAATTAGAGAGAGAGTTTAGTAAATGTTACGTTTATTATTGACAGATACAGAGAGAGCAGCTAAATTAGAGAGAGTTTAGTTAATGTTATGTGTACTATTGACAGATACAGAGAGAGCAGCTCAATTAGAGGGAGAGTTTAGTTAATGTTATGTTTACGATTGACAGATACAGAGAGACAGCAGCTCAATTAGATAGATAATTTAGGTAATGTTATGTTTACTATTGACAGATAAAACTGACTGTAATCGATGTTTACTATTGACAGATAAATAGAGAGCAGCTCAATTAGAGAGAGAGGTTAGTTAATGTTATGTTTACTATTGACAGATAAATAGAGAGCAGCTCAATTAGAGAGAGAATTTAGTTAATTCTATGTTTACTATTGACAGATACAGAGAGAGAGCAGCTCAATTAGAGAGAGAGGTTAGTTAATGTTATGTTTACTATTGACAGTTACAGAGAGAGCAGCTCAATTAGAGGGAGAGTTTAGTTAATGTTATGTTTACGATTGACAGATACAGAGAGACAGCAGCTCAATTAGATAGATAATTTAGGTAATGTTATGTTTACTATTGACAGATAAATAGAGAGCAGCTCAATTAGAGAGAGAATTTAGTTAATTCTATGTTTACTATTGACAGATACAGAGACAGAGCAGCTCAATTAGTGAGAGTTTAGTAAATGTCATGTTTACTATTGACAGATAAAGAGAGAGCAGCTTAATCAGAGAGAGAGTATAGTAAATTTTATGTTTACTATTGACAGATACAGAGAGCGCAGCTTAATCAGAGAGAGAGTTTAGTTAATGTTATGTTTACGATTGACAGATACAGAGAGACAGCAGCTCAATCAGAGAGAGAGTTTAGTAAATGTTATGTTTATTATTGCCAGATACAGAGAGAGCAGCTCAATTAGAGAGAGTTTAGTTAATGTTATGTGTACTATTGACAGATACAGAGAGAGCAGCTCAATTAGAGAGAGAATTTAGTTAATGTTATGTTTACTATTGACAGATAAAACTGACTGTAATCGATGAATACATACGCCTTGTGACTGAAAAATATCAAAGTTTAAGTCAGTGAAAATCAAACCAATGATATTATAATCCTGCAAATAATAAAGAAAGATTTGTTTTGTTAATACACTTTTATCTAATCAACTCTAGTTACCTGTAGGTAAGATCATTAATTATAAACAGTGAATGCAGAAGTGTTCTTCTGTGTAAGAATGAATAGGTTAAAGAATTACAGTGAAACTTGTGTATTGCGACATCCTGTGTAATCCAACATTATAGTTATCTCCCTTTTTAAATGAAGACTTGTGTTGTATGACACCCTGTCTAATCTGACCAACATATCGTGTCCAACAGGGTGTCAGACAAGACAGGTCTCACAAACTATCTTCTTGTAAGCGTGATAATTCTCAAGCCTAAACCCCAATACGTATCAAACATATTGTATAACATATATTGAGAAATTACATGACTGTCTAAATCCTAGAAATATTTTGTTATTATCTTTCTAAAGTCATGATTGCATGAAAAACTAAGACTGATGAACTTTTTGTACTTGTTAGACAGCTAGAATCTATATATAGAGACATATTATGTTACCACGGAGACAACTAGAAACTATATATAGAGACATATTATGTTACCACGGAGACAACTAGAAACTATATATAGAGACATATTATGTTACCACGGAGACAATAGAATCTATATATAGAGACATATTATGTTACCATAGAGGAAAAGATTTGTTATGACTGTACAGCATATCGTTACCATGGTGACAGAATTGTTGGAAATGATTCCAATGCCTTCAGTTAAAACTTTGAGAACAGATTTGATTGACCTCACAATGTTTGAAGACAGATTTTTATTAGGAGTTTGAAACTTTGAATCTAGATCTCCTGGACTTAACAGATCCAGAGATATCCAAAGTAATGTATTATACAACAAGGCAAAGTATTGCAAGGCAATCCATAGTCCCCCATCGGTAATGATTTCTATATTTAATTAACAGTACACTAATGTCAGGAAGCAAAGGTCACAGTGAAGTCATAGTGACCTATTTCTTGCACTTCGCCATCCCAAGATGTCCTTGTACACCATATCTGGTTACTCCAGGTGAAAAAGTATAGAAGATATATCCTGGAGAAACTTCTCGGACGGAAGGACGGACGAATGGAGTGCAAACCTATAGTCCACCCTGGAACCGGTGGGGGACTTATTATTGCCCTTACTGGAGGGAAACACTATTCTTTGTTTCTTCTAGATTAATCATGTTTCAAGCTTATAAAGATGATGCATTTATAGGATCTTAAAGGAGTTTTCATTTCATTTGAGATTTCATTATTTATTTTTTTGGCAAGCCTTGGCGAGCAAAAATTAAAACTTTGAGATGAGTTTCATAAAAGCTTATATGAAATGAAAACAAATTTAAGATGCTTTTAATCACATAACTCAGAAACCTTACATTTTGACAGGTTTTAAAGCAATGTAGAGGGCTTAATCAAACGGAGACGCTTCGTTCACAATTTATGACGTTATGTCATTGTCCATATTATGACGTCACAATCGATTTCTGACTGGCACAGCCAAGGAAAAATGCTCCAGGGCATGTTACACTAGTGACATTTGTAAAAATATTACACGGGCGAATTCACTGGATAACAGGCCAATTATGTGATAAATAATATCAAAACTTACAATTTCAACGATCATATAATGAACCAAACAAATCTCTCCTAAATTTGAACAAATCCTAACACAAAAGGAAGAGGGAAACACTTCACAGAAAATGTAATTACACGATTGAAAAGAAAATCAAGTATATTACCTTCATGAAGCTGAAGAGTCCGCCTGACTTTTGCGACATCTCGTTTTTGGCAACACTTTCCAGCTTAGTTAGGACTGCATCCAAGTGGGAGGCTGCACAAAATCCCATAGCAATAGCACAACCCTGGAAATAGCCAGAACATGATTTTTTTCTGAAGCAAATTCTCAGAAAATCTAAACACATATTCCCTCCAAGATAGCAATATGTTAAGTATTGGATGATAATCAAGGCGATGAGTATTTTGTAAATTATAAAAATTAGCCTACCTTAGTGTATGTGATAAAATCCTGCAAAAACATCTTGTTTTCAATTACATCTCATAGAAGTTGAATATGAAAGTAATATTTGGCCTGGTTGTGATCATAAACCACCGTTAAATTAACAGTATGTGAACTTAAGTTTTTAGTTCCAAACATTTCCAAAATTATGGAAATTCATGGTTATGATCATTCTGAGACAAAAACCATTCTGAGTCAATCTTGATGGTAAAACAATTATGTTATTAATGTTTTTGGGTTTCTTACCTCTCTCTCTGTCTGGTCGGAGTGTCTGATGGTGCTGAAGATCAGGTCTAAATGTTTATTGACAAAGTCTTTCTTATTAGACTTTCTCATAACAACGCCCAAACACTTGTACAGGAAGTTCTGCGGAAGACAAAATGTACAAACTTATACAAGTTTTGTTCCTAGACACAAACTTACTTGTGTCAGGCTAGGTCAGGTTTTACATCTTCACGACAGCAAAGGTGGCTGCTGCAGGTAGTTTTCCATATAATATACTGTTTTTGACCTCATACTGTTAAATCACTAATTTTTGTGTGGTTTTTAAATCTGTTCATTTCAGGGATAATCTTCATCCACGAATTAATAGGTCAACAAAGTAATTACAAGTTTAACATATAAAGCAATCTCCGTTTGAGTGCGTACTGGTAATCCACAAATTTGTGTACCCATGAAATGGTGTTTTGTTGGGAAACCATTAAAATTTGAGCCCTTGAAAATATCTGATTTCACAGTAAAGGTGCAGGCCCTAATAAGGGTGCCTCCACGCTTCTCCTGAAAAACAGCAAGGTACTGGGTGGCACCCAGTCATTTTGAATAAATCCGGGATATTTGGAAATATTTTGAAAATACATGTACCTTTTAACTGAAAATTCACGTAATAATAATTCCCAAAGTCACATTTCATGATAATCGAAAATAAATGACACTTGATTTTAGGTTGTGACAGTTAAGTGAGGACCAGTTATCGTGAAATGGTAAATACAATGATTGGGAACATTCGTTTACAAAATAACGGTAACTAAGTTCTCTTAACCCTTTCACCCCTGTGTAACTTAAGTAGACCCTGCCATGCATTGATATGGACGATTCCATTATGGTCTACAGTGGTGAAAGGGTTAAGTGGGATATGCCTTTCTTGCGTAAAACATATGCTAGAATATTCGATAGCAGCAGTTTGAATTTGCCGCAACAACAGGGAAAAGTTGCCAGGTTTTGTGCGTCGTGGTGGTCTTGTGATCCGAGGTCAATGGTTTAAATCCCAGTCAGGTTTCAATTCTATTCTCAGAACACCAAATCTTTCATGTATTTCATCTATATTATTTTTCATAAAAGTTTCAAAGGGTTTAAATTCTTTTTCAGAAATGATTTATTAAATCTTTTATCATGCCTGAAAACATTTCTATTAATTCATTCACCCCTGAAATTTCATAATGAACTATTCCAACCTTTAAATTGGAAGGGTTCAAATGTGTCTTCAGGGGTGACTGAGTTAAATTCACAGCCGTCCTTTACATTATCTATTTACTCCTGCCAGTCAGTTGTTTGTCTTCATATTAGCTCAACAAAGGAAAGGTGAAATAATATTTTTTTTTTTAAGTATTAAGTATTTTTATATTTGTTTTTTTCTTGTACTGACCTTTTCCTCCGAATAGTTGTTGTACAAACTGATTTGATTGCCGAAGGTTTCACCAAGCTCTGCGGTCCAGTCCTCGTTTTCCATTACATCCAAGCTCTTTGACAGGAGCTGTACCAAATTAACACAAACAATTATTTTTAAGATAACAGTAACCAGCTTATGCACCACTACAATACAAATATTATCACAGCAGCTGTACCCGGCTATATGTATGGATCACCACATTGAAATTTAATCCAGACAAATTAGTAAGAAGTAAGAGGCACAGAAGTTTAGTGGTAGGATGCAGGGCTCTTGACATAAGGGTTGCAGGTTGAAGTTACAGCACTGTGTTGTATCTTTAAGCAAGATACTTTACTGCGTTTGTTTCAGTCTACTCAGCTGTAAATGAGTATGTGGTTGGGCAGTGCTAGAATTGTAGAATGCTAGCTGTGAGTGCCGAAATTGGCAGCACCGGCTGTATGCTCCCCAGAAAGTTGAGCAAGATATTAGCTGGTTGCAAAGGCCCTATAACCACGAATAATAATTTGTGAACTGCTTTGAGACAACCTACGAACTAGGTTGTGATAAAGCGGTATGTAAGAACCTCAAATTATCATTATTATTAAGTAAAAATGTTTATACAGAAATTAAATGTCTTACCTTCAAAAACAGATCTTCCCAATTCTGTTGTGAAAATGTGTCCTCTCTTGTTGCATCTGTTTTATATGGGGGAAAAAAATCAGATTTTCAGGTCAATAATGTGATTACTACTGAAACAATTCCTAAGAAACAAAAATTCAACTTTTTAAATTCAAAACCCCCATGATAATGAATTATAGAATTAATATTCCCCTTTCAGACAGATCATCAATCTTTATTTAACTCGTCCACCCCTGAAATTTCATAATGAACTATTCCAACCTTTGAATTGGAAGGGTTCAAATGTGTCTTCAGGGGTGAACGAGTTAAGCAGATTCTCCAATTTATTCTAAATCTTCCATTTGTGTGAAATTTTGACAGCATACCTTCAAGGAATTCAGTATCGTGATGACATTCAGTGAACTATAAGAGTTTGGGATGAAATACTCAAGTATACTGGGAAATATTCACGGAAGTAAAATCTTCGGCTTTTCCCTCTCCTTAATGAAGGTGAATTCATCATGACAGTGAATATTGGTACATAGCATACAAGATATATAATAGGTATACGTAAAGAGTGAAAATAACACTGAGCAAATATGGAGTTTCACAATGACAGGTTTGACTGGGCAAAGGTTTCCAAGTATACAGACTTCAACGAATCATACAAGTTTTGGGTGACATACCTTCATTGAACCATGCAAGTTTGGGGTGACATACCTTCAATGAACCATACAAGTTGGGGGTGACATACCTTCAATGAACCACACAAGTTTGGGGTGACATACCTTCAATGAACCATACAAGTTTAGGGTGACATTCCTTCAATGAAGCATACAAGTTTGGGGTGACATTCCTTCAATGAACCATACAAATTTGGGGTGACATTCCTTCAATGAACCATAGAAATTTCGAGTGACATATTTTCAATGAACCATATAAGTTTGGGGTGACATACCTTCAATGAACCATACAAGTTTGGGGTGACATTCCTTCAATGAACCATACAAGTTTGGGGTGACATACCTTCAATGAACCATAGAAGTTTGGGGCGACATACCTTCCAGAAACTGTATGAGTTTAGGGATAACAGTGTCCCAGAGGTCGACCAGGTTCTCATCAAGGTTAGGAACAAGTCCCTTCATCGTCATTAATACATGTACACCTCGGTCTCTTCCATTGGTTGGGCGTCCCGCCAACACCTGTCAAGGTCAAGTACTAGTAATTAAATATTCTCTTATTTCATCAGCTGGAAAGTTCATCTGGTTTTTATTCTTAAGACTATGTCTGTCATTTAGCTGATCTAGGAACCCTCAGGCTTCAGTGAACCCTCAAGCCTCACTGAACCCTCAGGCATCAGTTTCATATATATTACTTTATTTTTGTATACATTTGTAGAAATTCCATATGTTCATGTTTTCCAATGGAAAGCATTTCTGAATAGAAGAGAAATATCCTAAACATCAGGTTTTTTTCTTTACTTTAGATTGAGCAAGGCTTTCCATGAAAAGCTTAAATTTAAAAAAAATCTTTAATGAAGGAATGTTCAGGAAACTTGATACCTGTTCTGAGAATCTACTAACACCGACAAAATCAGCACACTAGCTGATTAAGCTTCAGATTTTGCTATTGTCTACTGAAGGCCACACATTCATGACTACAGACCCCCACTTCTGATTATTTAACATAGTGTATGTGGTCATAGGTCAGGGATCACATATCATGAAATGATAAGCTATAAGCTACAGACAGACCATGGTAGGCTACAGATAAAAAAGGATGTACATGTGTTAGTTTCCCACCAATTAAGTTCACTGTTACACAGCACAAGACATTTTCCCCCAGTAACGGTAGTCAATGACACTCACCATGAGCCTCGCTATCATCACCGGGGGCTTGGGCACGTTAGCTGCAACACCATTGAAGAAAAGTTTATAAAATATGATAAAATCTAATAATGTTCTAATAAACTTTCGTCCAGTTGAATTTTCACACCATGCAAATAAAATCCATTTTTGACCAATGTGAATTTTATCATTTTATTATAAACATTTTATTACATGTATTATGTTAATATATCGCTAACTACTGTTTACTGTAATAATTTGCACTTAGCGAAGTTAAAAACTGCTCAAAATTTATTTTCTAGTTAAACTGATCATCCCAGGGTTGTTGTTCAGAAGCAGATAAAAAATTTACCTTGAGTTTCATAATCAATTTCATAGTCGTCTGCATTTTCTTCGCGTTTTTTGTTGGACAGGTGAGAGAGACATTTACAGAGGACACCGGCCGCCTCAGTGTACTGCTCCGGGACGATTAGCTCCAGCAGGTATGGCCACAGCACCTAGAGAACACACGAGACTGGTCTTAACGGGAGCCATATTCGTATCACAGAATCACCATAAAATATTACTCTCGTTATTGAGGAATTATTTGATTCATGCTGATTCATACACTTGCTTTTTGTAAACTACACTCAAATCTGCCCAATAGACTTCCCTTTTTAACTAATCTTCTCTCTAGTGAGAATGATGTAATCTCTCACCCCCTTGGGGATGAGATAGGAGTATCTCAACAGGAGGGGGGCTTTGCCGAGTATTTGGCAACTTATATAAAGAATCTTTCCCCGAGGGTTGAGATTCCCAATCTCGCCTCGAGGGGGTGAATGTTTCTTTTTCTCTTACCCTGTTCACCCATTGCGTATCATATACATACTGTAATGTTAATGTTACAGGCTAAATGCATAGTTGATGTGACATCATACAATTGTTTTGAATAAAGGAATCTCCCCATCTCAACCCCAGGATGAAACAAGGATATCTCACTCCAGGAAAATTGTGGATACACCTGTTCAGGGTAAGAGAACATCATTTTCTCATTCCATTTCAGTTCAGCTACTTTCGTATTTATCCTGCAGTAATCTCATAATCTCTAACTCATAGTAGTGGGCGGGGCTTATTACAGCACAATGAAACAGCACTTGTTGGCATTTTTACTAAACTAAATAGATATGGATATATTATCAATACTAAACTAAAAGACATTATCTGTTATGAGACCACTTTTAACCCCTTGGATGGTCTCTTAACTCATTCACACCTGAAGACACATTTGAACACTTCCAGATCCAAGGTTGGAATAGTTCATTACGAAACTTCAGGGGTGAATGAAAAGATAAAATTTAATGAAAATCATAAAAAAAAATATACATACAACATCTAAAAAGAAAACCTACATCAGAAAATAATGTTTGTAGAAGATATTTCAGTACATGTACTGTAAAATCACTAATTTTTGTGGGTTTTTAATTTCGTTGATTTTGTGGGTAATCTTCAACTACAAATTCATAGGTCCACAAAATTATTACAAGTTTGACATAAAACAATTCTCCGTTTGATAGCATACTCTTAATCTACTAATTCATGTACCCACGAAACGGTGTTTTGTCAGAAAATCACAAAAATGCGGCCCACGAAAATATCTGATTTCACAGTACAGTACTTGTATATGAAACCTTCCCGCCGAATCCCAGTAACCTTGACCTCCCCACTGTCCACTGACCTGTTCCATGTCCTCCACCGTGGTAGTGAGAAGCTGAAGCACGTTGTCACACATCAGCTTCAGCTGTTTGTTAGTGACATACTCAGGGTCTGGAGATCTCTTCCCCTGCACACAGACAAAAACACATGTAAAACACAGCTAATATATTTTTCTTTCGCTTGCCCTCTCACGTCACGACCTATCCCAACCAAACAGTGCTTCACTTTCTTCCTTGATCACTGTTAATTTTCCTCCTCATAAATGGGGTTCTAATTTTTGGGAATTTTGCTGTGACATTTTTTTCTGCAAAAAATACAACTCTCGAAATAACAAGCAAATTCATCCATCTTTTACGGTAGCACTATGTGTGCCATGGCTACTAGACCTAAAATCGGAAATCACAAAAAGATACTGATACTGCAAAATGGACCACCGAAATGAAGATTTCGATGATACTCTCTACTTGAATCTTCCTCTTACACCTTTCAGATTCCTTGCCCCCTCATCATCCTGTGTCCCCACTCTCTACCACTGCTTGCCTCTCCTTACCTTAATATTCTCCTTGCTCAGTGTTTAAACTATATGGTAGATAGACAGACTGTCCATTAAATAATATGTTGGCTTATCATAATTTTATATCTTATGACCCAAACTATCTATGAAGATTTCCCACTTTAATAGGAAATTGTATCCAAATATGATTAACTATCTACATAAAGTTTTCTTCATCAACAAACTCTGTCATCTTTCCTGTCTTCTCATGAGCCTTCACCCCACAAACCCTGCCCTGAACTCCTATATGGTCCATTATGGTCCTTTCCCCCTCATTCTTCCCTCGCATCTTCACTCTCTCCTACTTATTCCACTCTTCCCTCCCTCTGTATTACTCACTGGGGGGTCGTTAGGGAGGGAGCATTGTTTGACAATAAACTCCATCATCTGTTGTCCGCCTTCCAGCTCCAGGTAGTTATGGTGGGCCATTGCGATAACCACCTGAGCAAAGATCTTCTTAATCTGAATAATATAAATAAACACACATAAGAGTTCTAACTGTGACATATGATGGCAGATGTTAGGTATAGACAGGTGGTAGGTATAGAAGTGGTAGGTATAGACAGGTGGTTGGTATAGACAGGTGATTGGTATAGACAGGTGGTTGATATAGATAGTGGTAGGTATAGATAGGTGGTTGGTATAGACAGGTGGTTAATATAGATAGGTGGTAGGTATAGACAGGTGGTAGATATAGACAGGTTGTAGGTATAGACAAGTTCTTTTTTGACAAGTGGTAGCTATAGACAGGTGGTATGTATAGACAGGTGATCGATATAGATAGATGATCTTTATAGACAGGTAACAGTTACGGACAGGTGGTAGCTATATACTGGTGGTAGCTATAGACAGTTGGTAGTTATAGACAGGTGGTAGCTATAGACAGGTGGTATGTATAGACAGGTGGTAGTTAAAGACAGGTGATAGCTATAGACAGGTGGTAGGTATAAACAGGTGGTAGTTATAGACAGGTGGTAGCTATAGACAGATGGAAGATATAGACAGGTGATAGGTATAGACAGGTGGTAGTATAGACAGGTGGTAGTTATAGACAGGTGGTAGTTATAGACAGGTGGTTGCTATAGACAGGTGGAAGATATAGACAGGTGGTAGGTATAGACAGGTGGTAGATGCAAACAGGTGGTAGTGATAGACAGGTGGTAGTATAGACAGGTGGTTGGTATAGACAGGTGGAAGGTATAAACAGGTGGTTGATATAGACAGGCAGTAGGTATATACAGGTGGTAGTATAGACAGGTGGTAGTTATAGACAGGTGGTAGTTATAGACAGGTGGTAGTTATTGACAGGTGGTAGTTATATACAGGTGGTTGCTATAGACAGGTGATATGTATAGACAGGTGGTTGGTATAGACAGGTGGAAGGTATAAACAGGTGTTTGGTATAGACAGGTGATAGGTATAGACAGGTGGTAGTATAGACAGGTGGTAGTTATAGACAAGTGGTAGTTATATACAGGTGGTTGCTATAGACAGGTGGAAGATATAGACAGGTGGTAGGTATAGACAGGTGGTAGATGCAAACAGGTGGTAGTATAGACAGGTGGTAGTGATAGACAGGTGGTAGATGCAAACAGGTGGTAGCAATAGACAGGTGGTAGATGCAAACAGGTGGTAGTGATAGACAGGTGGTAGCAAAAGACAGGTGGTAGTATAGACAGGTGGTAGTATAGACAGGTAGTCTGTAAAGAAAGTTTTAATGTATAAATTAAGCAGGTAATTAATAATCCAACATTAACCAATACAACTGACCTTGTTGTTCTGTTCCAGTACCATCGACTTGAGTCCCGACACAACCACTTCCTGTTTGTCAGCCATAGACTCCGCTGTAAATTACAAAACATGTACCCAAGGTTTTATGAACTACAGCTTTAAAATGTTATTGGATTTAAAGCAACTTTAATGAAATTGATATCCAAGAAGATTAGTTTTTCGTTTGATTATGATAAATCTGAAACATTTATTTTCTTAATTGACTTACTTGCAGCATTTATCAGATGTTTAAATATGGTCAGAATGCCAATCTTGGTCTTTTCGTTGTTGTTTTCCAGCTTGGCTAGCAGGATTCCCGTCAGTTTGCCAGAGAAGGAACGAGCTGTGAAATAACATATTTCAGATTAGCCAATTCACCCCTGAAATTTCATAATGAATTATTCCGACCATTGAATTGGACGAATTTAATTGTGTCTTTAGAGGTGAATGAATTAAGACAATTATAATGTTTATATACCTATTACACTCACAAACGCATTTCTTCTTATCCACCTATATATATATATATCTTTAAAATTAATTATGAAGCAGAAAATGGTTTTACTGTAAATCTTACTCTAAATTGCTTACATCAAAGAGATTAACTTCGAATTAATGCACCAGATTTTTTTCACAACCTCAAAAAGAAATGTGAATATTTTCATTCCAAAGAAACATGTGGAGTTAAAAGTCCTGTCAGCAAGCTTCCAAAAACACATCACATGGGAGATGGCTTAATATAAGAGCCTACTCTTGTTGCCAGATCCCTAACATTACACACATCACTGTAATTATTGAAGAGGAAATGGTTTACGGTAGTACTGTACATGGACGTATTTCAATAGTAAAAGCACATTCATGAATTGGCTCAATACTGTATGCGGGGAAATGTTTCGCTGCAGTTTAATTTTTGCCTTTTTCGCTCTCTGTAACAAGGGCGATGTTATTACTACAGCGAATATAGGAAGACAACACAGTATACACAGTAATTTTATGTGATGGCCGAAATTTACACCGGGCAAAAAGTGAGTTTATGGGAGAAGGGCGAAAGTTACACTGGACAAAAAGTGAGTTTATGGGAGATGGGCGAAAGTTTCACTGGGCGAAAAATTCCTGGTATACAGGAACTGCAATCAGCACGATCATAAATGATCATGAATACCATATATTTTATTACAAATGTGACGAGTGTTATATAAGATAACTGCTAACATAAAAGAATCTTCCCCTACCTTGATGGTGTGACAGAGAAACCTCCAACCCGAGGGGTGATGTTTTTGGTTGTCTAACCCAAGGCTCTGCCGCGGGTTACACAACCAAAAAAAATCACCCGAGGGTTGGAGATTTCTCTGTCACACCCTCAAGGTAGGGGATGATTATTTTTCTCCCATCCTATTATTTCAGTCACAACTCCACCGACAGTAGTCTGCCATGTTTGTAAACAAAAACACATGAGGGGTATGCATATCGTCGTTCACTTTTGATGATGTCACAATTACCGATGACGCATTTTAATGACGTCACAATTGAACACGTGCTAATCGGCACAAGCTATCTCCCCCTAGGGGGTGACAGCTGATCTTTCCTGGCTAAAATGGGAGAAACACCTGCGAAGGGTGGGAGAAATGTGCATGTACAGTATAATCAGAGACTGACTCTACCTAGTATAGCAAAGCAGCGGAGGACTTCGTTGTGGTTCTTGATACTGTTTGGATTATTGTAGTCTGGGGTATTGAAGATCTGAAACAGAACATTATGCGCTCAGGATTATTTTTCATGGCACTGTTTTCACGCTTTAAGGCAAAGTGACTCATTCACCCCTGAAATTTTATAATGAACTATTCCAACCTTTGAATTGGAAGAGTTCAAATGTGTCTTCAGGGGTGAATGAGTTAAATACAACAATGAACAATTTCTACCAAGTATTACTACAGACCTAACATTCTTAATATCACTTTAGTAACTTATCTATTTATACATATATTTGTTATATTGGGTAAATATAAATATTGAGTATGCTCACACTGACAGCTCACATGGAAATTCAAATTGAATAACAAAATTTTAAACAATCCTATCGTTCCTTTCTGATAATTGTATTAATTTGGTTGGTATTTGTATGATAATAAATGAATATGTGTGTCTATATATACCTTATTGTATATTTATGTTAAAATTAGAAACATAAAAAAATATTACAAATTAAACCTTGCTCGTAATTCTTTTACAAAAATTTTAAAATACTGAATGAAGAACAGAATAAAATCAAAGAAAAGGTAAGAAAAATATTTATGAGCCAAGTGTCAGATAGAGCCAGATCTTGTTCCTGTTTCTGTGGAATGAAGTAACTCTTCCCAATTCTTTTCAAAGAATTACTTGCCACATGCCCATTTTTACAGCTTTGTAGACTAGATCAATCAGTATAAATCATGTACTTACATAGAATCAGCAACCATATTCAGTCAAAACATTCCTTTTTTAGACACAATTTTTTTAATTATTTTAATGCCTGTTCCGTAAATCCGCAAAATATTCTATCCTTTTTAAAATTTAAATTCAGGTTAGTGAGTTTCTGTATGTTCTAGTATACATTGGTCATCAAAGTAAATGAAACAGCCGGAATCACAATGACCCCTGGTTTAATTCACTGACCTGCGGGAAGAGGGTGCCCAGCAGTTGTTCCAAGTGTGGCTCCAGCACAGTGTTATCCTCTACACAGACGGCGTCCAGTACACTACACAGACCCTACAACACAAACCAGCTGTCACCGTAAATCTTTCTGAAAGTATAGGTTCCGTTAAAATATACAGTATGCTGGGAAGTTTTTCGCCCAGTCAAACTTTCGCCTTTGCTGGTAGAACACACATTCGCCCAGTTAGGCGACTGCAAAACGGTAACATTGACTGACTTTGAAGTCAGTTTCTTTAACCCGAGACCAATCAAATAGCCAACTGTGTGCCTTTAACTTTGCTATGACTTATTCCAGGGGCGCAGAAAACGTAAGTGAGCATAACCACTGGAATATCGCTGATGTCCCAATGAAAGAGCCATCAATATGTTGGATACCACAGGTTGTCTGATTAGACAGGTTTAACTCATTGACCCCTGAAGACACATTTGAACCCTTCCAATTCAAAGGTTGGAATAGTTCATTATGGAATTTCAGGGGTAAATGAGTTAAATGAATGAAGTATGCTGCCTTCAGTCTCAATGAAACATCATTCATTGAACAATGTGTTTTGAAGTACATGTTTTTATTTTATTTTTATTTTTTGATACCACCTCAAATTTGATTTAATATACACTTAAGGTTGCATGAATTGAGTCCTAACCGTTGTTATGTGCAGAGGTTCGGGATGTCTTTTGTAAAGTCCCAGGATTCCCTGCAGTATCCGTGGCAACTGTTCGTCTAGCTTTTCCTTGGCCATCAGGTGTGTCATGTGACCTAGTGCTTCCACAATCGTCAGGCGAAGCTGTAACATATATGTACTAGTTGTCTCATTGTCATTTGAAATTATTATAAAATTACAAGAGCAATTAAATTAAATCCAGTTCTTACTTTAACCCTTTCACCACTGTAGACCATAATGGACTCATCCAGATCAAGGCATGGTAGAGTCTACCAAAGTTACATAGGGGTGAAAGGGTCAATGATCCCTGTCCCACTGCATTGTGGTTTTTCTTATATACAGTAACCTCCCTTTAACCCTTTCAACACTTAGACCATAATGACTCATCCAGATCAATGCATGGTAGAGTCTACTAAAGTTACATAGGGGTGAAAGGGTCAATGATCCCTGTCCCACTGTATTGTGGTTTTTCTTATATACAGTAACCTCCCTTTAACCCTTTTAACACTTAGACCATAATGGACTCATCCAGATCAATGCATGGTAGAGTCTACTAACGTTACATAGGGGTGAAAGGGTTAACTTCCGTTTTGATATAACTGTAGAACAGTTGGGCCAGGACATTTCCCTTGATCAGGTAGCTCAACTTGTAAGTGCTTAGTATAACAATCTGAGGCCCCGGGTTCAAATCCTGGTCTAGCCCCGCTGAATTTTTTCATCAAGAACACTATCATTGATTATATTTTGTTTATTTTATCTTTATTATTTCTCATCAAAGTGCCGCAGGGTATGGTTTTCTCTTTAGAAATGATTCATCAAAGCTATTTTAGACAAGCTGGAAAAACAGTTTTCAGTTCTTAGTTACAATGTTTGGCAGTCGTACAGGGATCCTTCAGCACATTTGTACTACATTTCATATTTATCCCATAATACAAATTCAAAGTAAAATCATCAAAAACTGATAAGATAATTTCTCCAGAAAGTGAGTTACTTTTTTTATATAAGTGACTGTAAGGTAACTGCTTAAACTAAAATATCCATATCTTGATTCAAAAAAAGTCATGAGTCGAAAAAATATCAAATTTAACTCATTCACCCCTAAAGTTTCATAATGAACTATTCCAACCTTTGAACTGGAAGAGTTCAAGTGTGTCTTCAGGGGTGAATGAGTTTATTTTAAAACATTAGGGTGAAATTTTACAGATTTATTTTTAAGATAATATTTGAATGCACAAAACATTCTTTGGAAGGTCAATGAAATATGTTCACCTTAATTTCCTTGGACTGAAGCCAGGAGTTGAACAGGACATCAAAAGCGGAGGCCACCTCCTGTGAGAAGCGATCCTTGGTGACCGACTGATCGGGAGCCTTGTCAATGTTGGCACAGTACTCGATGACAGCCTCACAAAACTTTGACAGAGCTACAAGTGATAGAATCAACAAGATCATTCAGTAACGTAAAGCTAAGTTAGCCCCTACTGTATTTATCCGGCAATAAGCCCATGCCTGGTAATAAGCCCGCCTAATTTTCTATTTGAATTCGGTAGAAATACCAACAAATGCTGTTTCATTGTCCTGTAATATGCCCACGCTCTACTTTGAGTTTGAGATTATGTGTTGCACTCCCTCCAACCCCATCTCCCTTCCATCCCCAGGATTATTGCATGATAAATAAAGTTCTTATTTCAAAACACACTGAATAACACAACTACATGATGTTATACTTGTGTTCCTTAGATCCTCAAATCGACGGCACAATATACTTTCAGGATACACAGCAACAAGACCTATCTCATGTTTAAGATGCAATGACGAGATCTTTAATTTCCTGCCAAGAAGACTATCTTTTCTCTCATTCCTGTGCACATGACAGAACTGTCCATGGCAGGAAAAGGGAGTAAGAAATTTCTATCTTACACTCCATGTACATGACGTCACAATGGGACAACAATGACATGATGTCACAAAACAGTGAACATTCTGATACCTCAATGCGGATAATGAGATGCATTTAGTGGCACCTGCGCAAATTTTGGTGATTGGAATTGGAGAAAAATCCTTTTTCATTCCCAGGAGTATAGGATAAGTAAATTCCGTCCATTTTTTTTTCTAAATTGGGTGAATTGCTAAAGGTTTTGCACCAATTTGATAATCTGGGGGAGAGAATATCCCTATCCTACACATCTTAATTTGAAAGAGTCTTATCTTTTATTCAGAGGCATCTCATTTTCACGTCTGATGGTGCGGTACTTACCTGCGGAGATGACCCATCTTTTGTTTTAGATCTAAGGCTGTGGTACTTACCTGCAGAGACGACCCATCTTTCGTTTTAGATCTAAGGCTGTGGTACTTACCTGCAGAGATGAACCACCTTTCGTTTTAGATCTAAGGCTGTGGTACTTACCTGCGGAGAAGACCCATCTCATGTTGTCATGTTTGGCCATACCCAGCATCGGTAGCATTGTCCCAAGTACTGCAGTTAAGTGTGGTACCATTCTGTAAACTAAAACAGACAAGATAGCTTAGCATCTCTCAACAAATTAGCCATCAGCTAACAAGAATAGACTAACAGAATCTTCCCCTACCTTGATGGTGTGACAGAGAAATCTCCAATCCAGGGGCTGATTTATTTGGTTGTTCAACCTGAGGCTCTGCCAAGGGTTAGACAACCAAAGAATGATCCTAATAGTTGGAGATTTCTCTGTATCACCCTCAAGGTAGCTGGGGATGACTGTTTTTCTCCCGTCCTATTATTTCAGTCACAACCCAACTGACAGTAGTATATTTTATGGACAACATGGGTCAGAATAAAGCAAGTTATTTCTACTTGAAATCATATGTGGTGACATTGTTCTTGAGAAACGTAATTTGATGGACAAACTAATTCACAGATGATTGCATCTCTTGTAATGTTTCCCTAATTTATCATTCAATGTTGTACTCTTGAGATTATTTTTACGCCTATCTTTCAAAAGCGATTTCCATCTCTCAAAGTCGGCATTTCGCAACTTTGCATTCTGGTTCCCATTTAAAATCTGTTCAAGCTTTTTATGGTGTTGTTGATATCTCTTTGTTTATCTGAACTATCGAGTACAGAACAACATAAGTAGGTCAGTCCAAACACTGTTTTTACAACCAAAGAAACTTGATGAGGGTCTTATGGTTAGATATTTTGTAGTTATAAACCAATACTCTCCATGGCGTAAATAAATGTCCAACTATTCGGTTATTGATTTTGGGAACCGGTTTGTGGTCTTCCAACCGAGTAATCAGTTAACTGGCTAACAGTTGGCAACCCTAAGTTGAATACATTAAAATGATGTTCAATTAGATAGTACTTTGCCAGATGATTAACCCTTTCACCACTGTAGCCCATAATGGACTCATCCATATCAATGCATGGTAGTCAACTAAAGTTACATAGGGGTAAAAGGGCTAAGTGATAATTTAACATTTCTAGGGCTCTACATTTATATGAATGTTATGCAGCATACCTTAGGATAAAAAAGGAATGATTAATACATTTTCATGCAAAAATGACCAGCTGTTGACAAAACCAATTACATGGAACAGCTCAATTGTTCATACTCTATACTACAAAATTTGTTTGGACATTTGTACCTTAGAATCGGTGAAAACCAGAACTATGTTGATTAGACCTAAACCAAAAAGTATGTTTCAGGTACTGTGACTGACCCTAGTTGTTTTTTACCTCCGACTCTTCACTAATTTAACTCACTTGAATGCACTTAGACGACCCATTTAAACGTGCTGAAAATCGTAAGCATCTTTATGACACCCCTCTATTTCATAGGCAGGTATCAGAACAAAAATTTAAATCCCATGTAATTTTTTAAAAGACCGAAAAATATAATGATAAATGAATATAGTTGGTCTTAGTACATGTAACTTTGTTTGGTGATTTTTGTTATTTCTTAAATAAGTCCAATTTCAAAAAAAAAAACGAAAATTCCTTCCTACCATTCTAAACTTAGATATGCACACTCTAAGTTTACATGGTGGTCAGGTGGCACAGTAGATAGTGCACTTGCCTTTCACCTGGGTTGTTTTACTTTTACGATCGGACATGAAAAGGCATTGAGTCACCTGCCCAACCATGTGGGTATTCTCCAGGTACCCCATTATCCTCCCACATTAAGCCAGCCCCCCCTGACACGCTTTCATCAGGGCAAACAAGAGTGATTAATGTTAACTGAAAACATTCGTTTTCATTATTATTGTACGATATATTAAACATGCATTCATAGACAACTTATACGTACCATTTGCTTGGGCGAGGTTGCCGATAGTCTGAACTACAAAGAAATGGGGAAGCTGACCAGGTTGGAAGCGCTGGAGCATTTCATCCATCACTTCATCGCAGTATTTAGCACCAATGGCTACCAACACACCGCTCGCCGCCGTCTGCCAATCTGGTACCACTTCCTGTAACAGGTTACTGCAGACTCAGAGCAAGACCGACTATAATATATCCTTAGTGTAAATGTATAAGCTTACCGTAATCAACTTTATTTCCATGAATTTTGGAATAAGTTTACAAGAAAACTAATTTGTTAATTAAAATTTCTGCAAATACATATTTCTTATAGATAATTACTATCAGTATCAAAACAGGCTTCTCTTAATTGCAAATTAAAGTATGCATGGAAACCTACTGGTAAAATCACGAGGAGACTAATTTGTTATTTAAATCTTCTGCGAATATTTATTTCCTACAGATAATTACTATCAGTATTAAAGTAGGCTTCGCTTAATTGACAATTCAGGTAATCATGAAACCTACTGATAAAGTCCATGTAGTAAAGTGCATCATTCCAACAAAAGTAAAATGATTTCCACTGAAATGTAACATTTTTTTCATGTTGAATACCTCATTATCTGCTCACACACGTATATCTTAGCGCCCTCATATTAGTTTCGATTTCAAACAAGGTTATTGAAAAAATCTTAAGATTTTTTTATTTGTTAAATAATATAAACCTATATACAAGTCTTTCATCGTGCGAAAGGCCCATATTAAATTATTTGTGTATGTTTGTTTTACAGTTTGACCTTGACCCCTGACCTTTGACAGAGTGAGTTCCAGTGCTGCCTGCTTGACCACATCTATTGCGAGACCAGTGTCGATGTCGCCCAGCTTTTCTTTGATGATCCTCTCCATACATTGTAACAGCACCACCCTGTGCTCCTTCACCAGCTGCAAAAAGGAAATGAAAAGGGAAATATGACGGAATGTAACGCCGACAGAACACTGACCTCCGTCAGTGAGACGAAACCTGCATGGGTGGAGTAGTCATGTAGGCGATAAACCCATCAACCAACCAACCAACCAGGAACTATGAAATATTTTGAAAAATGTCTGTTAACTCAATCACCCCTGATGACACATTTGAACTATTCCAATTCAAAGGTCGGAATAGTTCATTATGAAATTTCAGGGGTGAATGAGTTAGTTAAGGATCCCTGTCCCCCTGCAATATGTTTTTTTTCTATATACAGTAACATCCCCTTAACTTCCTTTTGGATATAAAACTGTGGCGTACCTGGGTTTCAAACCTGATCTGGCCCCGCAGAATATTTTTCTCTCAGAACACATTTGTTCATTATCTTTTGTTTAATTCATCTCCATTATGCTTTCATAGAAGTCCCTTATCTTTTCAACAAGAGGCCCAAGGGCCTTAGCGGTCACCTGAGTTATATCATAGATACTGGTAGCTTTATTTTATTGTTTAGATGTGATGTGGAAATCAGCATGTAAACTAAGTGAAATACAATACTTGTCATGTCATCAATGGATAAGAATTTGAAAATATTGGTAAATGTTCCCTTTGGGGCCCCGCCCTAGCCCCTGGGGATGGGGCAGGAATCCTTATTTTACAAAGTAAAACTCTCATTTACCCAAGATGATTCTGACTAAGTTTGAGCAATTTTCTGCTGAAAAT